TGATTCTGACAAAATTACAACAGATAAATATAACATTAAATAACTATGAAATATACATTTATGTGTATGTACAGCCTTTAAGATCAAGAATGTTAACACTCAAATTAGCTGTGAGAGTAGACATTCTTTTCTTTCATGTATGACTGTTTATTTTATGAGGCTGAAGACAATTTCAGGTGTGTGTAATCAGGAAGGTAAGGTAAGTTTCCACGCTGTATAGTATTCTCACTGCAGCCATGCTGCACCAGCAACACCACTACACAGCAAAACGGGTAAAGCAGTGAGTCATTACTTCACAAATTTACAAAATGATGGTGGACTCTGGTCAGGACACTGGGGTTTAACCTCTACTTTTATGAACAGAGCCCAGGCCCAGCCTTGATCGGGATCTAAGAAGCTAAGAGCAGTAGATAAGTAGATACCTTAGGGATGTCAGTACTATGTAAAAATGGGAAACATCAGGGGCTAAATTCTATTAATTGTTAGTTGTATTTACAATGCATGCAGCAAAAGACTAAATAAACTATATGAATTAAATATTGAACACTGGATAAATTAACACTGAATTTAATATTCAGAACCAACTGTTTAACATTATGAGAGTTTGCTGCTGCATCATACATTTACAATTAGCACAGAAGAAATGAAAATTTAACATTTCCTCCAATACACTGCATATAGCTCCTCCTGGATAAACTACCAACAGCAAAATAATCAAGACAGACTGAATATCCATATCTTCACTTCTGTGCTCTTTCCCTTAGGGAGGTTTGTGTATCTGGCTCTGTAGGCCTATGAAACTTCTGGTACCGTCTCACTTACGGAGACACACTTACGAAAAGTATCATTCAAATTAACACATGAAATTATCTAAAAAGTAATTACATTTAATAAAACTAGCACACTTCCAGGATATTGAAAAATATCCAACCAAATATCCATTTTCTAACTGCTAAATCTAATTCAGTTTTGCTGGAGCCTATCCAACAACAATGGACACATGGTGAGAATATTGAAAAACATATCTCCTTCATTTTCTTAAAGGAATCTAACATAATATACAGTATATGAGATTCCTGAGGCTCTCTCTGTGTGGAGTTTGTATGTTCACATGGGTTTCTGGGTCTCTGGTTTCCTCCCACAGTCTAAAGACATGCTGGTAGGTTTAATGGCCTCTGGGAAAATTGGCCTTAGTGTCAGCATGTGTGTCTGTGGTTGTGTGTGTGCTCTGTGATGGACTGGCATCCCTCCCAGGAGGTGTCCTGCCTTGCTTGCTGGGATAGGCTCTGATCAGATTCACATATCACCCAATTCATATTCTAGATTCCATATTGCCATTCAGAGGCTACACTCTAGCCACCACCTCAGCATTTTAAAATCATGCTTTAGTAAGAAAGCCAGGAATAAAATATGCATGTCACATAACTTTCAATGAGTAACAAAACTAATCTGTGGATTACAACACTTTCCCTCTACGCTGATGAAAGGGATGTGATGTCCTGAAGCTACATGTGATCAGACAGCAAAGAATACAGAATCTGCTGTAAGTATGATTAAAAGAATAACTCCAACAGATATCCGAGTAATGCAAGATAAAACAAGGAATACATACTTTAGAAACTAATATCTGAGGAAGCAGCAGAAGGAAAATGGAAAGTGGTATAAGGGAGAAATACTTTGATGTGGGCTTACCAGGTAAGTAATTGGTATCATTCTCCATGTAAAAACATGTCCCGGAATTATCCTTTGTGACCAATGTTGATATACTGTACAAAAGAAACAAAGTCATAGAAGAACTGATGCCAAATAATTCTGCAACGTCTTTCTGGCGACAGATGGCACACTGTATGTCAGTAAACAAAAAGACTTAAAAAATGTTAACTTTTAAAACTGTGCTCAAGGTAGGACTTCACTGTTTATGTCTAAATAACACATTTAATTTATAACTGTTACAATAGTATTGGTATACGTGTAATACCATGAAGAAATAATAACAATACACAGATAAAGCCAAACAAATCTGGTAAGCAAATGATATTGGTTCAAAAACTTTTTTTCTGTTTTTGTGCCTCTCAATATAAAAGATGCACCTTTAAGAAAGCTTTAAAAATGTGCACAGTTCCAGATTCTCTGAAGGATTTGGAAAAATACCACACTTAAGGATTCGCACACAAGAAGGCTCTATCACCCCATATGTGTGCAGCCTGGTCTTCAACAGTGTAAAAAGCCCTGAATTAGCCAATCTCAACTTAAGAGATACAGTAGACTATACTCATGCAATATAGCCTTCAGGTTTCCTGGGGACAGAGCATTCAGTGCTTTATAACTGAACAGGAGAATCCATTGCAAATCCCCTCTGAATGTCACAGGGAGCCACTGCTGTTTACACAGCACAGAAGTAAAATGCTGACACGGAGTACTTGTAGTTTGCACATAAACTGCTCAGTTCTGGAAATACTGAAGCATGTTTCACAGTACTGTAGAAGGGACCCTGGTACAGTACATAAATCAGGACAGTAGTCTTATCTTGGTGAAATAAAGATATGTACCTTATTTCAGAATGAGGCAGGAAGAAAAACCTTCACTTCTGACTTCACTCAAGTTGATGCTGATTTCTTTTCTTTCATGTTTCCTGCAGTAATCCTACAGGGATGGACATTCATGGTCCTGGAGAGCCAAAATACAGTAAGAGGTCTGCATCACCCTTAAAGTATTTGTTTCTAAACACTTGGAAAAATATCGCTAGGATTTGTCAAGTTAAGTTGGACAAATATAAATAGAAAAGTAGTGTAGAAAACACTGGAAGTGAATATAGAAACACTATATACTACTCAAGGATCACAGCTGTCTGTTCCTGATTGAATTGAGCCAAATAACACACTAATTGATCAAACACTCATGTGTTCCAAGTCTTTACAAATTGATTATTTTACAGTGTCCTATCGTGGACTCTCCATGACCCCAGTTTTAATTACTCTAAAAAAACAGAAATGTTTTCCTGACATCTTAAATGGAACACGCAACATGACATTACTGACGAGAAACGCAGTCAGGAATGCGCCGTTATTCCGTCTGCAGTGCAGGTCAGCCGATCAATTAAACACTTTTCTTGAAGAGATTCAATCACAGAGATTACCTGGATCTTTTTGTTCATTTACACGTGGCTTCACGTTTCATTTTTTAAAAAAAAAGTGGTATCGTTACATTTTGGCAGAAGGTGATTAGCAAAATAAAATGTATCCCCTTATTAGACTATCAAACAGGCAAATCTCGGAAATGTCGTTTGAAAAACGGCAGCCTTGCTGGGGTTTTTTCTGGCTAAGTAAAGCTGGTGTAAAATGTGTTTAATTATATTTCTCCCTTTATTGCAAATTCAATGTTCTCTGATTATTAATGGCATACTTTAACGTAAATTATGCAGTATTGATTGCCCTGTCAAGCACAGCACACTCCAGTAAAGAGCATGAGGCATCATAGTGACCTCTTACCAATAATAATTTGCTTAGGAAAACAGAGGGAGAGTGGAGATCTAAAATAAAACGGAGGGTTGATACTGTACCTTTCATCGAAACGGGACCATTTATTAGCCAGTTCAGCTGAGTTTTGCACTTTTAAATAAACTCATGGACTAAATAATGTCTGATGCACTGTAGTTCATAATGTAAGTGAAGGAAAAAGGCAAAACCGAATGCGAAATAAAACTTGATCAAATCAATACAACACACTGGGCTGTATTTAAAAAAAACATTACCACCAGGCGATGCTATCTTTTTTTCCTCTCTCGGTTAAATCGTGGACTATTTGCAGAATCAGCTGCTAACATTATACCTCAGTATAGGTTTATATCTCAGCATGCAGTTCTTGAACTGATTTGGAATTTCTAGGAAATTGATTATTTTAAATAAAATCTGCGGCAAAGCCCAGCATGCTTTATAATCCTTGGTGAGGTCCAGGGATCGCTCATGAAACAGAAAGCACCCTAAAGTGTCACCGGCTTCACTCCCTTCTTATTTTATTACTCGTTATCCATATACACCGAGCTTTTATTTCGTGAAACAAAAAAAATCGAATTACTTTTTTGTTGTCGTCACGCGTTACACCCCAGATTAACATCTTTATTTCCCTAAACGGGAAAGTGTGTGGCAAAATTATTCTAAATCCTGATTTGTTCAACACAGTTCGCTGCAAGATTAAGGTTCAACGAGTGGATACATCTGGCACATATTTTTTTGAAAATACGTTTCTAAAGCCCACTGTATCGGTGACAAGCCTCCATGTGATTAACAGCGATTGAGGAAGAGATCTACAGTGAGCCACTTGCTGGTTTAATTAGGTTTCACCTCTGTCTTCACCCGATGTTAAATAAGGAAAAAAAACAAAGTTATTGCTCCTGCTACTGGCCCTTCTTTACATAAAGAGTAAGTGAGAAAGTTTCGTCGAAACATTTTAATATTCAAAAATCCATTTTTTTTTCTAAAGCAGAAATGCATGTTGTAGTTTAATTCTGAAGTTAGGTATAATAATATATGCGATATATGTAAATTGCTACCTGCACTGCATTTAACCATGTTTTAGTTCACCTAATAACATTCACACCTATGAAAAGACATCACACAAACGGGCATCGCAGCATCTAAAGCAATCGTGATTCCCTCGGACAATAAACTTATAATTCCGTTTCTATGGTTACAGCTGTCAAAGCCACGATGCTGCCTATTGTGACTTTTCATATCACTGGGAAAGCCATTTGGAGACAAATTCTAATTTCCAGTGAAGGCCTGGAGACTCATTTATACAGCAGGACATTTACTGACATTACTATTCTGACCGCAATACCTCACTCAAACATACCATCCCCACTCCAGTCCCAGGTGTGACCCTGTCTTGAATAGTAACAATAAGCAGTCCCATAACTGAATATATGTAACGTCTATATCGAAATAAAAGCCGTTTTGAATTATTTTAAAGGTGAATTATAAAAGGAAATAATGAAACGGGAATTTAAATGAAGAGCTTTTATTATCAATCTGAATAGGTTTATATAGAATGAGCATCTCGCTGGGGTCCTTCACTGGGCCTGCCGGGAGGCAGGAGTGCCGTCGGGGTTTCGGGCGCAGTTGCAGCTGGCGCAGTGGTGGTGCGGAGGTGTGGGGGCCCGCGGCGTGCAGGACCGTGCGGACATGGAGAAGGCAGAGGCAGCCGCCATCATAGGCATCGAGAACCACGGGTTGCAAAGGGGCAGCCAGCTGGCCAGGTATGCCTGCGCTACCGCGATATCCGGGTAGGCCGGTGGGAACGAAGGGAAGGGCGTCAGCTGGCCGAAGCCGGAGGCTGGGACGGGGGGCATCCAGTGATATATGGAGGCGGTCGTGGCTGGTGCGCTGCTAGGCTCTAGGGGCAAACTGTCAGTACGGACAGGCTGGCCGACCGGCAGGGACGAGGACTGGGGCAGCTGAAGGGCTCTGGTACCAACAGCTTTGGCTAATTGCGCATCTGCACTGACCGCCGCTTTGGGGGCGCTGTTGGATCCCTGACTTGCGGAAAGTGCAGGGGGTGGACAGGGCACCCCGACAGTGACCCCTGTGTTTTCCGGTGGCTTTTCGGAGCTTGTGGTCGTCCCCTCTTTCTGGCCTGCCGACGTTGCTCCTGTCGATTGCCCTGCTGCGTTGGCGTCCGCGTCCTCGCCGAAACTAGCCGACAGCGCATTTTTAATTCCGATTCGCCGCTTCATTCTTGTGAGGAGGTCTGGGAACCCTCTTCGGAAATTAGGGTTGTAGTAAAACTGAAACTGAAATAAAAAAACAATCCGAATTAAGAAGTGCGCAGGCAAGTGAATACAAGAAATAAAAGACTATAATGGGCAATGAACTTGTTAAGGTTCGCAAGTCTCTACACCAAAAGTTGAACTTCGCAATACTTCTACGCGATTACATTTGATCATCAAATAGCTGGAGAGCATAACACAGCCTCCAGCTACTTTACCTTCGACAGCATCACTGCCTCCTTCTCCTGAGCCAGGAAATCTGCCAGGGAAGCCGACCTGTGAGGGTCGAGGCGAACTTTGGTGAAGCCGTAGAGGTTAAGCTGACGGATAAAACTTTTAACGCAGTCGGTTTCGAAGATCCGTTGGCAGCCATTCCTTTCCAAAACCTCCGTTTTAAACAGCTCCTCGTCGAGGACCACGTAGTTTCCATCCTGGTCCCATTTGATGGATTTAAATCGGTCGCTGTCGACGATCTGCCACAGTTTGCGGGGGAAAGGGAGGGCGGCCAGCTCCAGCCGCGGCTTCTTCAGCACGGATTCGTGGGTCAGCAGCTGCAGAGCGTTCTCTTCCAGCACCGACCGCATCAGCTCCAGGTCGCCAGCCCCCGACTGGTCGCAGATGGGCGCCACGCATTGGAAGACCGGTGGCTTAGTAGCTTTTCCGTTATTTGAATCTTTCTCGGTCCTAACCGAAGAAGTGCTGGGTGTCAATTTAGATAAGCCGGAATCGACCTCCATTCTGTTATCTTCAAGTTTTATGCTTGCTGCCATGTTACATATAACATATCCAGAAACAGATGGGGTTCCCGGCCTTAGCCAGACTGAAATGAAGTTAAAAGTTGTTCAGATAATATGTTTATTTTTTACCAGACATCACAAAGAAATGATCCAGGCGTAAGGTTAGGTCATAATGCTGACGTCACAATAGTAAAAGCGTCATCAGTTGACAAATGCAAACGCATAGTAGTAAAATAGGCTATTGTAAGAACATAAATATAAAAAAAAATAACTTTTAATTGGAGAATGTATCTTAATTTTAATCTCACTGGTACCATCTTTAAAATGCTGAGAATAATAAAGAGTTAAATTGGAAACAACAGACAGTTGCAAACACAATAAAAGCTAATACCAGTTATAAACACAAATTAAAAGTCTTATTTTCTGGAGTCATCTTTTGCATTTCAGGTAAAAAAAACAAAATTAAGAAAAAAGCTCACCACACATGCTTAGAAAAGTGAAATTTTACAAAAGCTTTCATAAAAAAGGTTTCATGTGTCACGGTAAATCTGTCAACATGCTGAAAATTGCAAATGCAAAGATGAGGAGACATTAGAATACTACTTTATACAAAGACAATATACAGTATGTGACCCAAGCACAAGCCCAGATTGGAGCAGGCACAAACACTGGATAAGGCAGTTTAAGCTGGTGTGCCATGCAGGGCCAGTCAGAGAGAAGACTGACAGACACACTCCCAGTGTTTCCACTGGGAGGAAACTGGAAAACTTCCACCATTCTTTGCATGCCCAGTTTGAAAAATAAAACAGGGAAATAGCTATGACTTCCATTACACAGCCTTGCAATTAACCTATTGTTTAATGACCTCCATAAGAGTTTCCTATATAACCAACACCAGACACTAGAGGACTACCGGCCTATTAACTTTTTAATCAGATGCATTAAAATTAAAGACTGAAACATGGTGGTTTTTTTATTTATTTATATGAAGAAGAAACATAAAGCCCGAAAATCTTGAAATTGATGTTCTTTACAAGAATTATCATGTTGACTGGCACATTTGTTCCTAAAAAAACAAAGCACAAACACTCAAAAGATTCCTTTCTGGTTGTCCTGGAAAAAAAATATATGAACACCTATTTTGTGTATGGTTTTTGTGTGCATGATATGTCGGTAACTGTACCACAGATCTGCAGTGTTCTGTAGTGAATTAAGCCTAGATCCTGCTGCAAAACAAAAAATCCTGAGGTGAAAATTCTGGGTTTATTTAAAACTTGCACTGGCACAAAGAAAAAATAGAAAGACTATGCTGCCAACATCTCACTGACTTTTAAAAAATGGCATAAGTTTGTCCTGACCCTGGCTTCCCCAGGCAAGAACTACATTGAGCCACCACCCAGTTAAACACAAACTCCTGACAGCAAACTCCAGTGTGTCCTGAAAATATTTTAAAAATGATATGAGGAAGCAGAGGGTCTAGGGCCCAGGAGTGGGAGGGGCAGGGAGTAGACGGATTGGGATTTCTACTGTCCACAAATCCTTGTGTCCCCGCGAGAACAGCGGCTCCTTCAGCCAGCGAGGGCTGGACAGCACTGTCAGATATTTCCCCTGCAGGCCGGGCAGCACAGCTCTCCTCTGGAGGTCCTGCAGGTCGTCAGTGGCCAGGCTCTCTGGACACTGCCAGGTCTCGCCTACATCCACCAGGCCTTGACAGAGACAAGAAGTGGACGTTACACACAGACACCACTCATTGGGAAAGGCAAGATTCACTGCAACTTACTGATTTCAGCCTGGTTTTCTTTAGCTTTGATAGGAAAACATTTATGATTTATCGTTTTCGGGAGGAAAATCATACCTGCTATAACTCCTCGTCCAAATCTTTCACCAGCGTCAAGAAGTTCCTCCACTTGAGCCGGATTTATGCTCAGAGCGTCCGTTAGTAATTCTCTCCACTCGGACCCTTCCCAATCCCTCTGGGCAACGTGAATAGCCAGTGTGCAGTTTTTCAGTTCAGACAGCAGGGGTCTCCATCGTGTCTCAATCGTTTTAATTCCGTTCAGTATGAAGCCTGCGTAGGGCTGTCTAAAAGACAGGCAGTTGACTTGCATCGTCATCTTCAACCGGCTAATTTAAAGCTCTTATGTCGTCATCAAAAACGTACTTTTCCATTTTAGTTCACGCCCTTAATACGATTTTGATTTTTTCTAAATTATTTACACGTATCTCTCATATAAAAATATTCTTGAACGATAAAGCCTCACAAAAAGAAGAGTTTTAAACCAGCCGCAAATTGTTCCTTTATTATGTCGACAATCGCTTGTTCCAAAAGTTTTTGTGGCAAACGGACTTTTAAGTTTTACTTCACAAACCATACACCCGCAACTCGGAAAGCAAAGAGGAAAATGCAGCAAACCCAGCACCGTAGAAATCATGAAATTGTGTAAGGTTATCGCTGGTATAACGCAGAAGATTCAAGATGGTATTCAAGCATAGGTTTAGTATAAACTTGTGCCTGTATCGCCCTCGTGTGGGTGAAAGAGAGGTTGATATATTTGTGAAATTTACGATACGTGATGTATTAGAATACCGCTGTTGGATGGCATTTGAAGACGATACTATTATTAGAAGTGAAAGAAATGAAGTTTGAAATCTTACACTTAAATGCGTATAAAATATTTTATCTTATAAAGAATCGCAGGGGAGTTAATTTCCTCCCAAAGGTAATTGCTTTTATAATACACTCAGCCTATCTTGGCAAGCAATGGGCTCAAGGCAGGGTACAACCTGGCTGGGATGCTTTTCCCTCACAGGACAAACACACAAATAGAGAATGGCTCAGCCAAGGGTCAATTTTCCCAGATGTCGGATAAGGAAATGAACCTGGAGGAAGTCCACGTAAGCACAGGGAGAACATACAGTACAAACTCCACACAGTGTAGTACCACAGGTCCAGAATTGAACCCAGGGCCCAAATCCTGTGAGGCAGCAATGCTAGACACTGCTCCACCTTGTGACCCGTAATGCACTTTTCATTCTAAAGAAACTTCACATGTAATAGGAGACATCACATCACCCACCACTGCAGTGCAGCCCTGACCTGGGTGAAGGAAACAAAAATGTGAAGCTCGAGATCAGGGGAAGGTGCTTTACAATGTTTAAAACATATAAAGACATGAAAGTAAGGCAAGAGCTCTTTAACCCATCACCACATCTGAAGCACCTTCATCTATGGAAGATTCAGCTTTCCAACTATGTATTTACATCAAACTGCTCCCATTTGACTGCTGGGCATATGGTATTGTATGGGCTGCTGCACTCAGACTACAACTTTGGGTCTATGACCCTGGCCTTATGGACCTGTACTCCTGCTGCCTTTTATAGCCTAGAAGGTACGGAAATGCCTCTTAATCAGGCAACCGATTGATCCAATGCCATCTTTGAGAGCTCAGCAGAAATGAAAACCTGGAAATGTTGGAATTCTGCACGATAGCATTGCAGATGCAGATGAATTAATAATAAATAATAATAATAATAAACTTTATTTTATATAGCACCTTTAAAGGTGACTTCTCAAAGCGCTTTACAGAATGACAACAATAAATAAAAATACACTAGATAAAACACAATTACAATATATAGAGGAGACCGTGGGTGGTGGTACTAAGAAAAGCAGGGGCGTGAAGAATGGAACCAGTTAAGTAAAGGCTTTTCTGAAGAAGAGGGTTTTGAGTCTGGATTTGAAGGAGTTTAAAGAAGGTGACTCTCTGATATCCTTGGGGAGAGAGTTCCAGAGTTTGGGGGCATAACAGGAGAAGGCCCTGTCACCCTTCGTATGCAGACTAGGTTACAGAATTTATGCAGATAAGGTTAGGAATATGGTATTTTTATTAGTTACAACTTCAAAAAAATGTACAGATTAAGGATGTAATATTTACAATACATACTTTAAAGATTGCCATTAGAACACAGATTTACACTTACAGAGTATACATTAAAGAACCACCAGATCAGTAAAACACAAAAATTGGTCCAACCCAATAAAAGAAACGGTACACACTTTGCACCTCCTCTCAGGCCAGCTGAGAGTCTTCACCATAATATCACATAATATAATAGTCCTCGCCATAATGTACATCATTCACAACTGATCCACCACTCTGGGTAACAAAAAATAATCCTATTGTGCTGCTGAACAATCCTTCTGTTGAGAAACATTCTGTCAAGTAGGAAAAGGACTCCTACTGGACGGAACAATACAGGTTTTATAAAACTTGGGAACTTTAGACATCAAAAAGCATTGCGGTTAGTTACATTTGTCCACACGGAAGGATTAAAGACATTTTACCAATCTGTGGAAGCAAGGAGTGATTTTGAACAGAAATAAGCATCAATGTAACAGCGTTCGACAACCTTCATAAAATTCTGTACTCGTTAAAAAAATACCTGTGTGATACAAGAAACCTCAGAACTTTAAAAAGGACGGCACTAGAAGCAGGCTGCCAGTTTGTGCTTGTATAAGGTTTAGAAGGAGTGGATAGCTGTGACAACTGTACAGCTGGAGAGAGGCTTCAGTGTATCAACAAAGATACAGAATATGGGGACTTGTGAGTAGCTAAGCCATTAAAGAAGCTTCAAGCGCTGGCAGCAGATTCGATCCCAGAAGTCATGTCATTAGATGCCAGGCCAGGGTTCCTTGTGCCCTCCAGAGTGTCAGTAGGTCACTGAAACACCAGAGATGGACGAATACCTCCTCCATGATATTAACCCACCTGTGTATTGCAGAGGAGCCCATTACAAGCTAAGAGATAAACTACTAGGTGGGTGAGAGGGAGGCTGTCTGCACCTCATCATAACCCTAGTGTGGCAACAAGAGCCGCTGGAAGTTAAGACACAATTAGCCAGGCCTAATTGCACAAAGGTATTTGTCTCTTTTTGTCAAAGAATGTTTTGAGGGCTTCACAACCAGTAAAGGTGGACCACAGACAGCACCACCGGAGACAGCTGACAAGTCCAGACTGCAGATGAAAATAAACGTAATTTCCAAATTTGGATAAGACTTACATGATGCCACTCTTTAAAATAAAAGGACTGGCTCATATTCAGTAGGGATGTAAAGTTTGGTAAATAATACATTATTTCAGGGAACTTACAATAGAGTTAGTCTGACCTGTAACTTGAACTGTAAGGCGGCTGCTTATAGTTCACAGACCTCTTTCTCAAAGATGGACAAATTAATTCTAGATGGTTAAACAAAAAAGCTCTCAGAAAAATAAACATTTGTTTCTGTTTTCGTTATGGATTTTCTCATATGAATGGAATTGCTGCTCATTATACTACACATCTATCGTGTTTCACTGCATCATTACTACCAAGCTAAACTTAAAGAATGGACTGCCATTCTATCTCACTTCCTTTTATTTATAGAGCAGTTTTCATGCTAAGGGATTCTAATGTGCTTTAACAGGACAGGATCCATTTTATTCATCACTGAAGTTCAGCTCTACCTGAACAGCCATTTTGCACCAGAAGCTGGATTACACAGTAGACTAGGTGGAGAAGTGAGAAATTGCTTCATCAGTTGAATTTTGCAGGAGCTTTAGGAAGGTCAGATTGTATAAACAGAGAATTTATGTACCAGCAGCCTCATGGAACACTAGCTTAGGTTAAAGGAAGAAAGCCTCACCAGTTTTATTTAAGCCTGTATTTAACCAGATAAGTTTAAAGAGAACAAATTCTCTCTGCAGTAATTTACATGGCACACGTTACTCAACGTTCCAAGAACAGCACTACACCAGAGACTTAAAAACCACTAGTAGCTGAGCTGCTACTAGCTGAATTAAAGGGGAACTCCCGGGTGTCCAGATTGTGTGATTCCATGGTGGAATTTTGCCATTGCACCAGGGTCAACACATCTAGTCTTACAAACAGTACCATAGCTTTTTGACAGACCACAGTTTAACCTCTCTTCCAAGGGTCAGCACCTTCTATAGTACAATGTACCCAACTCAGCACCGGTTTGGAAATTCTGGTGCATAAGGAAGAGTGTGGCCTACTGGTCCACCAACACCACTTGGAGCTGCAACCTGGGTTTCCTGAGAGGTCTCCCATCCCTGACCAGGCATAGTCCTGCTTAGCTTCTGGAATCTGACCAGATAAGGTGGCAATGAATCTGTCCACAGAGTCTCTAGTGAAGCTTTAAGGAACACTTAACAAAAGTTTGGCTTCCTTGAAAAGTGCTACTGTGTATGTGGAAATGGAGATAGTTTTGCTCAACCATGCAACCAAAAACTAGCAAATATTTTTACAACTTCACATTTCTAAGTTTTCATATTAATCTAATTCAACAACTTATAAGTTCCAAATACAATTATTTTTGTAAATGTTTAGTTTTGGGCCTTTTAAACCTTGATATAAAGCAAATGTTAAATATCCTGTTTATTTACATTTCTGAAAATTGCCCTATTTGTTCTCATGTAGGTCCTCCAGTTTAACAACCTTATTAGTGACGTCTCCACAGGTTGGACTCTTTTACAGCGAGGATTTTAGTTACACTATTTTCTGAGGCTACTGACTGATAAAGATTTAATAAGACAAACACAAAAATGTGAAGTAATGTTAACAGAAGGGAGTTAACACAAAACCAAACCCAGCTGATTCTCACTTTTTTGAAGCTTAAAACTTCAACACTGTAAAAAAAAGTTGGAAGCTCTAAATCAAGGTCTCCTATTAAAGTTGAAAAGAGTGAATCACTGAATCATGAAACATTAGCTCTTCAATATTTTCACAAAGCAAAAAGGGGAAACAATGAAAACATCTTATCGCACAGAAATGTATACGGATGCCTGTGCAGGCAGATGCCAAACTATGAACATGTGAACTTTACATATGAAAGTTTACTTGTAGAAACTATTTTGTGTGTACAGAACTTGAGGAATAGGTTTTAATTCAAATGCTACACTAACATTTGAGAATTTCCATGTACAACCTATAAAAAATTAGAACAACCTAAAGTGGGCAGTGGGCAGAGGTAATTAAAGAAGCTCTACCACAGTCTCCTCTGACGAGACCTGGAATAACATGACTTCTCCTTTGTTCTTTCATGAGCTCTCCCAAAATTCATCTAGGCTCCATTTGGGATGGAGTCTATCATTTGGGATTTGAAGTTGTCACACACTCTCACAACTGATAACAGACAAGAAGTAAAAATGGTCTTACATAAATATTGGCTAACCAGTGACTTAACACACAGACATGCCACTTTCTTGCTGTCCCACTGGCAATTGAGGACTTTCCATCACTTACTGTAGCTGTTAATATAAAAGAGGATTAAAATACCCAAGCTTTACGTCTTCATTTTACGAACACCGAGACCATCAGACTTGTATGGCTCCTGCGGCTCACAGCTAAGTAAATTTTGAGATGAATAATCCCACAGCCAGGCAGGCTCCATTTGATCATCCCATCACGAGATTCCAAACCCGTGTGCTCATTAGTCCGGCATGTCGATGCAAAGTTTGGGAGGTGGCACAAAATATTTGCCCGGGCTCTGGGTGATAACCACGCCAGTCTTTTTGCGGAACATGGGTGCAATTTTGGGAGGTTCTGGTGTTGGAGTCTCCTCTGATTCTTCAGTGTCCTCATGATGGAGGTCGTAGGAGATATTTCCATATTCCCTAAGGAAGGGAAAGATCTCCAGGAGGAACTGGCAAAAATCCTTACGGATCCCAAACCACCCTACGAACAAAATGTCACGGTTAATGAAAATGATCATGTTCATCAATAAAAAGCTTACTCACTGAGCAACCAAAAGAACGTTTTTCAGCACATAAAACATACTCATTTATTAAATGTCTTAGCATACATATCACATTTAGACTAATCCAAAAATAAATAATGTACAGTGCATTTATTTTTCACTTCTCAATCAATATGAAACTCTCCAATACCAGATCACATAAATCAGTCTTTCAAGAATTATTCTAATAGATTTTTAATAAAAAACATTGCTTTTCCTAAATTTAATAAAAATGGATGCTAGCAATGACTGTTGAGCTTACATAAGCAGCAAGTTAAAGACCTGGAAAAAAAATCATTAGTAATAAAGAATATCAGTAATGCACTGAGTAATCTAGTTTCTTCCTAGGAATTGTTTCGCCCTACCAAATGCAATTAAAGATAGAAGTATTAAGCGAAGGCAATACATTCATGACACATTCATTACTATAAATAACATCAGCCCTTTAATTTCCCTTGGGTACTTACAGTGATTTCCCCCTTTCTGGCCAAATGTTGTAGCCATCAAAGTAATGAGAGACAGCCACAATGGAACAAACACTGGAACATAACTGAAACTGTTGTGGCCATCCAATCTATGAACCAAAAGAATCTGGAAAAAAAAGTTTTTGTTCTGAATACATGCACACTTTGAGAATCAAAACATGTCAACCCTCAAAGTCACACTTTAGGCATACCAGATAGGTTTATTGAAATTTTGACTAAATGAGTTCACCTATGCTTGGCAAGTTTCTCAGATTATTATATAGAGCTTTCTCTAAATAAATTCTTTATTTGATCAAGAGAGATTGGGGGAATTTCTCTGTTATTTATTAGAGTATTCTGGGAATCCTAGAAATTTCACTATTGCAGGTGTACACGAAAGATTTGTCAAGGTGTGTACAACTTCATAAAGAGAACAATTCAGTTTGTTTGTTTTTTTTCTACAAACCCCTTTAAATCTGTAGGCACATTAGTATTTCATTGGATTTTTTTACAGCAGTGACAGGATCACGAGTCAATTAAACAATAAGACTTCAAATACGCCTCCTTTATATTGGATGTCCAATATATAAGGGGGGTAGTCTTCATCAGAAGCCGCCATGTTTTCATTATTTAACACAGCAAAGCTCTTACAGCAGCTCTTGTTTTCTATAGACATGAATTTAAGGCTGTCACAATTTTTTCTAAATTCACTTGTATGTGTAACAGGATTCCAACGGCCTACCTCAAACGTTAGTAATGGCACAACAATAGTCATCCAACTGATCGCCATGGTAATGTGAGTTCTTCTCTGTTCTGCTATGACATCCATGGAGCGCAGGAACAATACGGACCAAACAATATAGTACAGAACCACAAGACAAAGGAATGACATCAGAATCCAGAGAGGGACACAGACAACCTAGGAACAGACATACAATACAGTTACTTAAGAGTCGTTCTTTGATGCTTTGATGTTGAAAGGACCCTAAAAACACACACAGCCCTTATTTTCATCAGCTGGCTCAGATTTCAGATAAATCTTACTGCAATCACAGTATGACAAGCCAGTATGAGACCTGGTCCTGTCTTTCCAAAAAAAGAATATTAGACCAGTGCATTTTTATTCAGAAAACTGTAAAATGAAAACTAGCTTTTATTTCTCTATTCAGTTTTAGTCCTTAATAAAAAAAAAACTACTAAGATATATTATCATAGTCCTTAGTATTTCTTGGATCCTTTCATGCAGTTTTACCCTAAAGCAAGAATGATATAACATGCAGTTAACAGAGAAACACAACTGTATAGGTTTTATTTTCAGATGTATAGCCTTCAAGAAACAAACTTAATATCAGATTTATACTTCAAATTTTAAAAATATCCCCTTGGTTATGAACAAACCCAATGGCACATAAGTCTGTTTCAGAGACAATACATGAAGTAAGCTTGTGCAGGAGGTTTGATCATTTTAAAACTGTAAACCAAAGAAATATTTACCCGTGGTCAAACAGTGTACCATGCAGTAGACAGTTTAACCTTGAGAAATAAGGGCCAGACTACACAGAAATATTTAATATGTTTTATCTCTTTCCTTCAAATGTAGTGACATTCTATTTAACAGTTAATTGAACTTAATTACCTTTCACTATAGCTGATGTGTAAAACTGACTGCATTCCTTCCTAGAAATACTGTCAGGCAGGAGGCTAATGGCTTAATGGACTGATGGACTCCATCCCTGAAAAGCTGAACATAGGCAGCCCTTCTGTGAAGTGTAATAATGCTTATTCTATATTGTAGAATGGAGACAACACTTTTTGTAGATGTAATAAAAAAGAATCCAAGTGAAAAGCAAGTCAAATTGCCAGGAGGGAGGAAACTGACTAACTAAATTAATCTGTACACCCAGCAGAGTCAGTAATGGAACTAAAAACAATACTAAACAATACAGCTTAAGTCTCCCAATAAACCTGATGAATAGACAATGTATATCTGTATTATCAATTAATTTCCAGTTCAGGATCTAACAGCATAGTTGGAAGCTAGGAACAAATATCATGGAAATCCCTATTCAGTGTTCTTTTAAAATATACCAAGAGGAACACTCATCTCAGCTATAAAAATGTCTTTCGTAGCAGGTGAAAGGCACAGCTGCAGGATATCTCTTACCAGCCAAGGCCAATTGATGATCTTGTCCAGCCTCAGTGCGATAAATATAAACTGAAGAATATTAACTGAGCACAGGATTTCCAGCTGAAGGCAGAAACAGAGAGAGAGAAACATTAAAACATAATATTAAATAACGCCTATTAATGTAATATGTTTGAGTCAACATGTTAGAACTGCAACAACACTCCAGGCGTCATGTATGGTTTTTGTCTGCCACAGAACAAGTGATTACTATTGACATATCAAGGGCATGGCTGTTTTCATTCATTTTCCTTATGCGTCCAAAACTCTTGTTACTTATTTTAGGATAAATAATCTGGATTCTCCTCCACACATCCAGATATGCAATCAAGACAATACTGACTGGCCATGGTCATTTTTATAACGGTGACCACTACTGACCTCCAGCGAGCGGTCATGCCGGAAGCCCCAGACACAGGCCGCTACTGACACTGGCGACACGAAGAACAGTGGCATGAAGACCAACAGCCAGAAGTGAGTCCCTCTCTCAATGCGGTCGCACACCAGCACCTCGAACATCAGCAGCAGCAGGTGAATGCCCACTGCGATCAGCATGGCCTTGAACTCCACGCAGGTCTCCCCTTCAGCCCTGCCCGCCGGGAGAGAGAAAGGAAAGCGTCACAGGTGACATTCAGGTGAAACGGAGGGGAAGCAAAACCCCAAAAGGAGGCAGAACGAGGCTAATGAACTCCAGTGGGTGGCAGATTATGCTGTTCTTGGCCATCAAGCTCATTCTTACCAACCATTCTTCAAGATTATAAAGCTGATTATATGTAGCTAATCTTCATTTAAAATCAACCCCTGTCAAGGTTTATGCCTGGACTCCTCTCTGGCTATGAAATCCTTTAGATATCAGAAATGCCAGCAGTCTTTTTTTTTTTAAATCCAAGAGACATTCACAGCTCAGCTGTGAGGATATGACGTGGTGCCATTTGTTTGTGAAATAGCTCCTTGAAAAGCATCAGAATTAAAACCCACTATAAAATCTGAGCAAAAGCTTTGCAAGAAGTCCAACTCCCAGACAAGTAAACGCAAAGCCCGGATTCCAAATGAGATCTCTGGACTTCTGAGGTTTTGCAGACAAAATCATGTTACTCAACCTGCTGATGCTAATCATTGCGAGCATGCGTGATGAACGCCCCTTGTGACTCATCATGGCCTCAGCTACCACAGCTGAAGTTATGTCTTGGCAACCAAAAGATTGGAGTGCAACAAAACAGATGATCAGAAGCACTGTCCACGGCAGAGAAATCCTGAGCTCAGCAACAACATGGATCCTAGGCCACATTCTCCACCTTCCTGTTAATAGGTCTTCATCGTATGTTGAAGCTGTACCGTACAGCTTCTACATAAGTAAATACAAATTGCATTTGGCTTTGAAAGTATACTTCTGTTCCCGAGTTCCTAAAACAGGATGTGGAAGGGTAGGACTGAGCAGTCAATACAAGTTCTGCATGAGTACCTTCAGGAATTTTCTACCGTCTTCAATTTTAATACAGAACTGATTCAGCAAACAAAGTGTCTACATTGTTTCCATAGTCAACCAACTTGCCTACCAACTTGCCTGATGATTACTGTAATTTTCAGTACTTGAATTTCGTACCTCTAAACAAACATGTACTTATTAGAGAAAAAAAAAGCAAACTCTTACTGCTATTAAGTAAAGCCTAGTTAAGTAGCAACTACACTGTTTGTCAGACTTCCTTGTTTATGGTATTGATCTGCCTTTGCCATTTCTCAGAAACAGCTGACGTGCAAGGTCTGGTAATTTGCTGCATCCTACAACACAACCTGATATAACCATCTTCACAAGCCATGACAGGCACACTGGCAACATGAGGTCCAGTGCAGCCAACGAGCTGCAGTCACCTGACCTGTGAGATCACGAGCGCAAGGCTTCACCAGGGCCCAACTTCACTCATTGCAGAGGCTGTAGCTGATACTTTAATCACCTCTAGCCAGGAGCTATAGATCATTCCTGTTGTTCTTTTTCAGCATTCTGGAGGCTTGGTTTGATTACAAAATACATAGATCTAGGAATCACCCACAGCTAGGCAGAGCTTTAGTAATGTTACACACCCTAATCTGTGCTAGAACTCCAGCAGTAACATTCTGATAACATGATGCCCCCCTTCTCCTTGCATTATTTATATTTAGTGTTAGACAACTTGTGTTTATTCATTATTTAGGTGATGCATTTATCCAAGGCACCTTACACCCTAAATCACTGAATAACAACCTTTTTCAATCATTAGACAGAGAATTCAACATAAAACACTGTATGCAAAATTAGTGCATTTTCATTACATACAACTCCTTTAAGAACTGCAATGCTATATATATTTGCATACTTTTCATTAACACGTCAAAAGGTACTTAAGATTAAGTGCCGATGGTTAAACTGTATGTAATTAAGCTATTAGGAATAACATGAACACTGCCACCAAAATAATCCACTTCCCTGGCATTTCTGCGCATATTAACACCACTGTTGTGTACAGATCAAATAATACTATTATAATAATATTTTCAAAAACCAGGAGGCCAACAGCACAGGCCTATATCTACATTAAACGGGTCTGGGCAACTTGAAAAAGACCACAAAAACACTTACCACATCTGAAAGAAACTGGAGGCAGAACAACAACATGCTTTCTTAAGACCCCAAAAGGGGCAAAAGCAGAAATGTCCCCTCACTTAATGTCAGTCTGGAAGGTTGATGGTACATTTGTTAACTAAGGCAGCTACAATTCCATTCGGAAAGGCAGAGCATGCAGCTGCTAGCTCACCTGTACTGTGGGTTTCGGGCCCACACTCCTGTGCCCACAGACGCACCAATGATGACCATGAGCTTCCAGAGCCATATGGGTGCAAAGACGGCCCAGTAGCTCCACTGAATGATTCCATCGAGCCGGAGGGAGAGCAACACGGAGAACAGCAGCAGGCAGGAGTAGATGAGGAATTTGCTGAAAAGCACAGGGATAGCCAATTCAGACTTTTGTGCCATGAACAACTGGCGACAAACCATCACAGCGCCATTTAACAACCGGCATATTCTTAACGTCACTGTTTTTCTGCCACCATTCTGAATTACATAAGACTATGTGCAAAATTCAAACTGCTTGTGAAACTGGTGAAACGAGGACCACACTAGAAATCACGAGTTTTCGATTCTGTCTGTGGCTAATGAGAAATTAATCTGTGGTAGCGATAATTCTCGCTAAAAATATTGTTGAAAAAAACATTTTCATTCTCTTGTTTTAGCTTGCCACCTAGTACGAAATAAGTGTTATGCGGCGCCAAACGTGTTAAGCGACACAAAATCTGGTTACATCGGATAAGCAATTGCTTCTGCAAACTTCAAGACCCACTGTAATTTTTAGTAGGCGTTTGTGTTTCCGTGCGGACGGCTTCGAAACAGGAAGAGCACTTCCACAAGCTGCAACCACAATATCCAAAACAACACGATATTCTACCAATCTGTTTAGTAGCATTAACAATCGTCACTGAGGCCCATATACTCAAAAAAAAAAAGAACGGTTGCAAACAGAAAAGCAGATAAATTGCTGGATTTACTACAAAATAGTTGGCCTATGTGCTCCATGTTTTGATCTCCACTATTCCCGACTTTGAAGCCGCATTCTTCGGGTTGCAACATCAACTTTAGTCCGGGGCTTTCGGGCATGACTCCTCCGCTGAAGTACTTTATAATCTTTCAATGAAAACAAACTCTCGCTAGATAGCACAATCAACCCCGAAAAACAAAACCACATCATGAATTTACATTTACATGCTTAAAAATACAGGTTAAAACAAGTGAAAGCTGTTTTAGTCTAACACGAGGCCTGTTACCCCATCAGTAACTATAACGCCACATTTAGAGGTTTGCATGAACAAGAACAGCGTTCAATTCTCTTTACCTGGGATTAAAATCTTGGAAGAGTCCCCTCAGATTCATGGTGGAGACGTTCTTGCTCTAAATCATCGTTTTCTTGTGAGTCTCACTCAGAAGGCTTCCGCCCTGCTCTCTCAGTCCCCTCCCCGGCGCAGCAGAGAGAGAGGCGGGCAGGCAACAGCGACACCTGCGCGCCCTGCTGGAGAGGTGCGCTCCGCCCGTCTTCGAACACCCCAAAACACAGGTCGGCACTGTTTTCTGCAAAACGGGGGGACCCCATTTTGATCAACAGCTTCTGATAAAAGGGGGCAGTAGCTCCAGATTAAAGCAAATAAAGATGGCAACTGCAAAAAACTGCCGAATTAATTTATTAAAATGAGACCCGACCCGCCGACTCAAGGTTCTGTCTACACATTTGTTAATAAAGCCACTGGAGTGAGCGTTAAAAACAACCCCCCTCCCAGACGATAATATTAACCGTAAAATAGTTGGGTAAAGTTCCCATTACCCATCTTTTACAACTAGAATCCATTCAAGGGGCCCTTTATTCTACACTGAGCACCTAAACAAAATTATTAGTCTATGTACAGTTTTAAGAAACAAAAGTGTAAATATATGTATATTTCTAATATGACCATGGTACACTCAGATGACTTTAAATGTTTCAGAAGGACCAGCCTGTTCCTAGTGGGCATTAACTGTAGATCATGAGGCGGTTTAATCTGTTGAAGGTTAATTAGAAAGATGTCAAGATGTCAGAGGTGTCCCTACCATCTGATATCCGAGATCAAATAAAAAATAAACAAACCTTGAAGCACTATCTGGCCCTAAACAGACTGTGACCACAGCCTGGTGCCAGTCTCATATCTGTCTGGTCTGACACAAAGAAAGCACTTTGCTGAGGAAGGTCAGACACTTAGGTGTAATATACTTCCTGCCCGGAATGTGGCTGTCTGTCACAGCCTGAGTGTGCAGGGGCTGAGAGACCGAGAAACCGAGACACCGAACTGAATTGACATAATGGGTTGATGTTCAGTTCAGTTTTTCTGATTCACCGGTCTCGTTTGTTTCTGTTATTTTTCTCTTTGCGTATTACTTTTAAGATAAATCTAAATATATATATATAATTTTAGCATTTGTATTACGGTTTTGTTATTGCTTTGGCAGCATTTTGACTACTTGGCATGACAACAAAACTCCTTTCAATTTGACTTCGGTACTGTGAGCCGCCGTAAGGTGGAGCTGTTTGATAAGAGAGTTTAACATTGTGGAAAGCACAGTCTATACCTGCACTTTCATACTGGACGCTCGCAGAGACCCTTCATGCAAGAGCTACCTCTTCTACTTTGTAGTGGTTTTACTAGAGACACACTTGTAACAAGAGGCTTTTACAAGAACATGCAGCGTTATTTAAAACTCCAGTCAAACCCAAAGGAACACAGAGCTCTCGAAGACCATGTCCCAGTTGAACTAATATCTCACACTGAAACGCATTTTGTGACTGTGAGGTTAATACCTTTAACCTTGTCGAAATCACCCTGGGGGGTTCAAGGGAACGTTTCCGCAGGTCTTTCCTCCCGGAGGTTGTCTGGGTGTATAACGCTGCCCTAGGCTAGGACTGTTAGCCCTTCATTTGCTCGTCTATGGACAGCATGTTGCTCCATTATACTTTTTGGACAATCAATCTGTATAAACCTATGCACATTTTGCACATATTCTATTGTTTTTACAGTGACTATGATCATCATATTTTGCACACACCTATGTATTTATTTTGTATAATGTTTCGTCTATTCTTATCTTATTGCTTGTCATGGGCTGGACTGCTGAAACACAAATACACTCCACAGGGGTCCAAACTATTCCTATATTGTTTACATAGGAATACACCTGATTACTATTCACGCTGTACAACCTCACCAAGTTGCTTTGGGGATTACACCCGCACTCACGACCATCTGAGAACAGAATAATTCTTTTCAGCTCCCACCCACCTTTCTCTGCCTCGGCGGAAGAGCGCTTTCTTTTTCAACCCAGTCTGGAAGAGAGGAGGACCTGCTGCCCGGCGCCCCTGTCCGGGCGGAGAGGGGCGGCTGTGGCCCTGCGAGCCAGGGACGAGCGCGCAGTTGCATCCTGGGTAATCGCAGTGACATGAGGGTATGGCTGCTTCCTGGATTCGGCGCTAGCGGTTCGCTGTCACTGGAACAAAAACACAGGAAATCTTTGCGTAGCTTGCCCGGAAAAAAAAGACGCCCATATCCGTCCATTGCACTAGGAAAGCGTAGCCTGCATTAGGAAAATAGGAAGGAAGGAAACTGGCAAAGGATGGAAAAGGTTCCAGGCGGAGGCAGTTACGGAGCGGAGAGCCCTGCTCCCCCGGCACTGCCCTCTAGGAAGCCTGCGCGTCCGCTCGTGGGACCCGGTCCCAGACAGCCCAGCGAGGAGACTCTGGACAGGTAAATACACAACACTCGGCAGCGCTTTGCTTTCTCCTATAAGGGCAGCAAGACGGCCGTTGAGCTTAAAAATTAAGAATTGGATACACAATGGCTTGGAGACCGTGTCTGTTCGGTGCACGGCTGCAGGGTGAGAAATATTTTCTCCGTCTCCTATACCGGGTGTGTCGGGCTCGTCGACTCTGTCTTTTGCAATCAAGGATCGACAGTAAGTGATGCCTTACTGCTCTAGTTGATAATCTGGAACAAGGGAAAGTACGAGTGTCTGCTGTCAGCAGTCCAGCCACTGATAATAGAATATACGGGACTAAAGCTCGATTCATGCCAAGGCTGTATTTCCTAATGAAGCCATCCCAAATCATCATTTTTTTTATTAATTATGTCAATGCGTCGATGTTTTGTGGAAACGTGACAAGCACGTAAGGATTTTTGGATCTAAGATCTAGGAGTTAAGGATCACCCTTTCACAGTGATTTGACTTTTGTGAAGTACTTGATAAGTTCCTGTAATGTTCAAAACCCATGTACTGTATTTCAACTGGGGCTGTAAATAGTTTCTCCTGAATTCATGTTCATATGCAAAAAAGTTTTGATACATTTAGACAACTGACAAAAGTGGGTGAAAGTGTTAACAGAGAATGTGCTTTGTTGCCTACAGTATGTGTTGAGATCTCAATAGGAGACCTCTGAAACATAAAACTGATTGTTGCTGTAAGTGGTGTTGGTAGACCAGTAGGAGGTGCTGTTCTCTATGTTGTGGAATTTACCATCCAGTGTCCCAGTATGGTGACAGGAGACACTACTTAAGGAAGTGCTATGCTTTAAATGAGACATCGAACTGACAACTTCACTATTTGTTCCTTAGTCTTCGCCTCATTCAATCTGGCATTGGAGTGGGTCCCCTCTTATACGTAAAACTCTTTGGGGTCCTTCAGGATGTTTGTTCTGAAGCTAGTATTTCTTAGAGGGTTAATATTTGCAGCCAATTCTTAGTACTGTAAGTAGAAATCCTTGCTCCATAACATCTGCCCTTTTGATTATTTTTAGTAAAGATCATGTTACATTTACAAGGTAGTGATATTTCTGTGTGGACTTGTGGATAGCAACACTCTAACAACAGATAACACTCTAAATATCAATCTGACTTGTTTGAGTAGCACTTTGGTTCAGATAATTTGTGTTAGGAAGTTGTGAAATGAAGGCTCTTGTATGCATTTAGGTCCATAGCAGTGCCAGACTGCAAAGTACTGAATATTGAATAGGAGTTAAATGCTTAAAAGAATACAGTACTGACAGTCATTGAATGTTGCAATACCAGTCTAGGAATATCTCAACCTCAAATACAACTACACTAAAGTTAAAGAATTGTCATAAGTGGTGTGTTTTGAGGCCGAATGAATAAAATCAACAGAGAAGGAAAAGGCACCTTTGCTTGTTTAAGATGGATGAATAGATGGAATAATTCAGTCTAGGATAGACTGAATACCTGTCATAGTCCTTGCAGTCCTGTTTATGCCGAGAGGATACGTCGCAGAAAGTACTGGGAAGGGGAGAGAGTTGGCTTGTGATTTCTTCACAGCAGCTACTTGTGGGGCCTGCTAGGTGCCTGCAGGCCAGTGTGGGGGTCAGTAGGCGTCCATTCACTGCCTGGAACCTCTGTTCTGCTCTGTCTGCTTGGGAAAACCACGTGATTGCATCAGGGCCTGGGTGCAGCTGAGAGTCAGCCGGGATGAAAGTCGGTGGTTTGAAGTTGGCCCTTTCACTCTGGCCGAAGATTGTTTGCAGGTCAGAGGCCAGGAAAATCAAGACCTCCAGACATCCGTGTGTGCCATTTTCTTACACAATTAGATAATAGGACTGAAACATCTGCAGCTGGCAGCAAGAAACCAACATGAATGATTCTGTTTTAATGGGAGTCTTGTAAGCTCCTAGCTCTTTTTACATAGTAAGCTAGAAATGTTTACTATATAATATCTCACCTTATAATCTCTCCCATGACACTTACTGTGATAATAAAAACCATCTCTCATTGCAGCCCCACAGGATCCCATGTGGAATGGTGTAAACAGCTGATCGCTGCCACAATCTCCAGTCAGATCTCTGGTGTCGTGCCCTCTGACCCCGTCTCCCGGGATTACAAGGTATGAGCTGCCCATCAGACCAGTGCACTGGAGTGTGTGACAGCCAGATTCTTAATGTAATTGATGGGGCTGATTGGATCTTGCATAGTTCATTTGATAGATTTGATAGAAACTCAGTGTGTTTAATGTTTGTCCCTCATACACTGTCACTCCTTGAATTATGTGAAGTTGAGTATTATATGATTCACGTGCTTAATAAAGTAAAATGTGCTTCCCGATTACATGTTACATGTTGTTAATCTCATTATTGTTGTTGATCTGGAAATTTCAGAATTGAATTTGGATAATTACGGATTTGTAGATTCATAAGACCTGTTTCCTTTAACCCTAAATGACTCCTTCTGGAATCTTGAAAGTTAACGGTTTTATTCTGTTCATTCATTCTTTTATTCTTTATTTCCTTTACCCTTTCTTCCTCCAGAGTGGATGCAAGGCATGTCTTACCTTTACCAACAGCTTTGCATGACAGTTTTCTTTTCCATTTTTTATCATTCATTGCTGATGATATCCTAAGATATAAAAATAAAGGAGGTGTGATGGCACAGTAGATACCACTGCAGCCTATGAGCTGCTGGGTTCTGTGTTCGGTTCCAGCCGGGGCTGCCTTCTGTGGGGAATTTGCATGTTCCACCTGTGTCCCACATGGGTAATCAGTGTCTGTATATTATGTCTTGGTGGGAGTGCGCCCAGTGATGCACTGCAGTTCCATTCAGAGTGTAGCTCTGCCTTCCAGGATGGGCTGACTTTCTGCAATGATTTGTGATGGTGAATAGATGGCTGGAGTAGGAAAGCACTAAAATAAGAAAACAAGCTTTTGTTTTGTGTTTGCAGAGCAAATACAGATGCAAAACAGTGCTTCTCTGGTGTTTAGACTTAATGATGAACATAACCGTGAGAAAAATACTACTGTATTTAAAAAAATAAAATTGTATTTTTTAGGAAAATAAAAAAACGGTGAAGATGTGTTGGGGTTCAGAGTTTTTCCTCTTTAATCATTAATTTCACATGTGTTTTGGGCATTAAGTAATGAGAAACGCTCAGGTGATGTTTTGAGAGAACTATCTGGCTGACATTTAGTTACTTTGGACTTAACCAGTTTAACTTGCCTCATGCTGAAGAACACTGGGTAATAGATTTAGTACTTTGGGGTTTTAATGGGTAGTAGATTTAGGTTTTTCACTGGAATGATGATGGCTGTATAAAAATCTAAAGAAAATGCAAATGAGCAAGATGATTTGGTGCCCATTTCTTTGGTGTAATTGCTCTTGATCCTCAAAGAACCTGAAAAAATCTGCAACTATAGTATTAATAGCAGACATAATGAGACATATTAAGACGTTTGGGTTTTTTTGCCGAATCAGAAGTGTTGCCTTCAGTGCCCTCTCTAAGCTGTAGCATTGGAAAAAGAGGCTAGGGATGACAGCCTTGCTTGGGATTTAAGATCTCCTCGACTGCTTTGTTCTGGGCTCTGCAGTCTTATCAGGAAGGTTCATAACTGCTGTGTTTCTGACTAACAGGTTGGAAGGATGCCGGACTTGCGGGTAAGACTGACGCAGTGTGTGCAGAGCCTTCCTGTCTCATGCTAGTGCTAAATGAAAGATGCGGTGTCTGTGTGTCTTCTCTTTTCCTGTCGCAGAGCAGCTGTGTGACAGAATGAAACTCATGTACCTCATCTGCAGGCAGAGAAATGTAGGCTTGCGGGCTTGTGCTTCCTTGTCACCGTACGTCAGCACTGCGACACCTTAAAGGGCAATGAAATTTAGCCAGTACACTTCCAAGAATGGTGGCAATCTGGGTGGCAGTGTTCATGGCTGCCACTGGTCACACTTCTTGTGAATTTCTCTCCTACTGCAAGTAGGGGTGATTCTAAATTCAACAGGGCATATCTCTCTGCTTACTGTTGCTCTGATTCTGCGCACTTTTGAAACATGTATGCAGTGCCTGGCAAATTCGGCTCATTTAGATTTTGTTTATAAAGGGCTTCTACAAACAGGTCAAATACTATTTAGGGTATTCCTAATCTTTACCGCTACATTTTGGATTTCTTAACCATAGGTTAGAAAAGATATATACAAAACATAATTGGTCAGATTGCACGCTACAAATATAATATTAAGAAGTGGCTTTGTTGTTAATGATACAAGACCTACTGTTTTAAAACCACATCTCTTTGTTCTTGATTCTTGTAAACACTCTAACTTTGCAAAACCCATCCAAAAGGGAGGCTCCTGCTCCTACTGTTTTAGGGTGTGTCAGTAAAAATAGTATTCTGTTATTGAGAGTTGCTATCCAAGACCCTGGGTTTGGAACAGCAGGTCATGTATTTGTGTCTAAAATTAAAACAGCAAGAAGCATCAGTCTGTCCCATTGCAGCTTTACAAGTCTGCTTTACTTTTCAAAGAAGCTTTTATGTAATTTAGCTGCTGAGCCTTTATTTCTGGCTTTTTCTTTGTCTGGAATATTGTTTTTATTTGAACTGAATCGAATGACAACATAAACTACAGTTTCTCAAGTTTTATTGTGTGCTTTCTTCTGTTTGTAACAAACAGGTTTCCAAGAGGCCTGATCTGAGGGTAAGACTGAGGATTAACTGCATCAGGCTGCTTTCTGTCTGTCTCTCAGGCTGATCTTAAATGTTTTTACTTAATTATTAGGAATTTGGTTGTTTATGTTTTTAGCTCAGGCGGATCCTGTATGGCTGAAGTAAGTTTCTCCAGGCTTTTGTTCCCCATAAGCTCTTAATGACCTTCCTCAACCCATTACTGGCTTAATTGGACCAATTGGCAGTTTCCCCAGCTCTACAGCTGCTGGTGTGTGAAAGAACCCTTGAAAACCTGTAGACACACTGGCTCTCCAGGATGAGGTTCAGACACTCCTGCTGTAGTGCATGTATTAGTATTCTTGGGCTTTATTATCACCCTGATTTGCTTTACTTAAATGCCCCTCCACTCAAAATACATTACTGATTCATGCCCCCCCAAAAAATAGCCATGCACTAGGGTTTGAAATTGATCTTGGCCATCATAGGACTATTGGTTTTTTCATACTACCTTCTTGAGGTTCTGACCAGTGATGTGGATCGTGGTCATGCAGGAAACCAGAAGCACCTGGCTCGAGCCTTTCTTTCGCTCTTATTCCGGGTTCAGGCCGTTCATGTCTAGACTGTAAGGCTCAGTTGGACTGTGAGTGAGTGCCTTCAGTTGTTGAGCCACTAATGATTCGCAGATGGTTATGTTTGTGACGCATGTAATCCTAGTTTGCAGTATTCTTCAGTATCACGACTACAACTAAGGCCAATTCTGTCAAAAGAATAGGGGAAGATTGGGCTGATGAGCTTTTAGAACTCTACATCCTGTTCACACTGTTCTGACTGGTCATCAGAGTTTTTGGACAGGGTTCCTAATATTTTGGACACTGAGTACATGCATGAAGAGCTGGCCCTGCTTTGACAGTATGAGTCTTCACAGATTGCTCTTCCTCCAATGGGTAGTGGAATAGTCCCTTCAGAGTTGTAATGGGAGAGTGGCACAATGCTGTCTTTTCCTAAAAATTGAACATATCTTTTTTCAGAATGCCCACTGGAGAGGTAAGATTGTCATACTATCTATTCCATTTTTTTTCTCTACTGGAATAGCATGGATACTTCGGAGCTTTTGCTGCATGTTTCGATTTAAGGGTTAATTAGAGTGAGCAGATACAGCAGAGGCTTGGCTGCAGTTTCTGTCTTTCACTACGTGCAGTATTTAACGTCAGACATCTGGCTGTACCAGAGGAAAGGCCTTTGACAGCCTGATACATTGGTCTGCATCAACGGCAAAATGTGTAGCTGGTCAGTCCAGTGAACATTAGAAAGATTGTATGATCCTGAGTCTAATTATTTTTAGCAAGAAAGTGGATCAATTTGGATTTCAAGGTGCTGTCTTTTAAACACAGATAATCAGTACCATTAAGTATTGTTCCAGTGTTTTTTGCTCATGTGAATAGAGCTTAGGATTTGAAAACTTCTGTTGCAAAGGGGGCCCTATTGAATTTCTGAACTACATAGTTTATTTCCTTGTTTATTTGAGTTTCACTTATGATCAAGACCCAAGAGTATTGTGATAATCTTGATACCATTTGTGTGAAAGTGGATTTGTTTCACAGTAAAAAACACATTTTTTAAATAGATGTTATTGTGTGTGGGGAGTAGGACTATTTTGGCAGATTTCCCAGGATTTTGCAAATGCTGTTAAGTGCTTTATCATTTTTGTAATTGTATTAAGATGTAGACAGTTATTTTTTGTTGTGATTTACCTCTTTTATTGAAAGTGAAGCAGGGATTAGGGGTAAATTATGTATCACCAAATTCTACAGCACATTGTTTTGACATCTTATCTAAAGAAAGATACAGACCCTCCATATGACACAGGGTGATAGGAGACTGATAGATCTGGCAGTTATGGAACCCAATACCTTCCATAACTGGGTAAGATTCTTTTGTGGTACTGATTTACTGTCATTCTTCTTTACATAAATGCAGCCAAGAGGTCTGATAATAGTCTGTAATAATTCTGCTTTTCTTCCAGTCAAAACGAGTAATTGCCAACCACCTAGTGAAAACTCACAAACATAACCGGTTTTCCAGACAAAAGCATGGTTTGAAATAATTCTGAAATTATAAGGTTGATCTCGTGGCCAATCTGGTAATTAAAACAATATGTAAACTGACCTCATTGCCTCTGAAAACTCAGTACCACAAGGAGGGAAATGAAAGGCAGTTTGGTTGGTTCTGAACATCGTGATGGTTTTATAAAACCGAACAGTATCTTGGCACTGTTGCCACTAATCATGTGATTTTTAATACTTTGAACATTTGGTGTTAAATAATTTGTAAATGGACAAACAAAACTTGTAAAGTGCGTACTGCACTAGATATTGTAGAGAAAGCAGTAATTGTAACATTGAGTGCTGATGAACAGATGGCTGTGTGTTTTTCACAAGGTTTTACATAAAGCTGTTTACAAAAGTTTCATCACAGCATTATGTGGGCTATACACATCATAACATTACATGCTGTTGTATACACCAAGTACTGCAATATACAGAGTAGTTATAAAAGTCTCTTAATCATATCCAGATGTCACTGTGTCTCTTCAACTGGGAATATTTGCACTGTCATTCTCTTAGTCCTTAGTCCTATCTGTGTACCATGTCAATATCAGGTAAATTGGATGCATGGTTACAGTGCTTTTCAAAGCTAATTACAAGACTTTATTAACCCACTGTCAGTCAAAATACAGTCTCTTTGACTTAAGTGTTGAGATTTGGTTTTCAGTATTGAAGCACATTTAACAGATTTCTCTCTTTTTGCATAGGGTGGTTTTCTCCCTGTATGTGTCACTCCCTGTCACCTGCAGTCTCACTTCTGTATAAGTGAGAAAGCACCAGTAGAGATTATTGCTATTTGGACAGCTGCTGATGTCTGGAACCAGTTGTTCTCATCCAGACCGTTTGGAATCTGGGCTACTGTTGCAGTTACACTGGATATATTTTACTACACATAGAATTGTACTAGGAATATTTTATAGCAGCAGTCATATCAATAAGTATATTTTATCTGAAAGACTACTCTATGTGTCTCAATAATCAGCATTCTTTTTTGCTTCTCAAAGGGAATATTATTAACTCAGCTAACTGCTTTTTCTGATGGGCTTTCAGGCTGCACAGTGATGTCTAACCCTGGCTTCTCTCTTCAGTGCACAGTACGACTCTCCTTGGGTCCGCTGGGTTTCTGGGGTGGTGTCTGACCTTTGAACTCTCTCTTTACCGGCGTTGTCTCTCTCTGTCTCCCCACTCTGCGCTCCCTGGCCAGGAGCCTGCGGACGGAGCCAACGGCTGTCACTCGGACACAGACTCTGAGTTCGCTCCTCACTCCTCGGCAAGTCTCTGCTTCCTTCTTCACATTTCCTGCACAGCTGCACAAACCGCTTCAGTGGGTTTTACAGTACAGAACAAGATTAAATGTCCTCATTCCAAACCCCTCTATAGCAGTAACACAAATCATCACCACCCTCGTGTTTATCGGTAATTCCAGCCATAAATAGGCTGAAATTCAATTTTGTTTCCCCAGGTGCGCCTAATGTAGTCTTCTTAACTCTCAGCACTAAGTTTCCAGGTGATTTTAAGCTTTGGATAATCTTCCCCTCTTGCAGCACAGAGCGGTTTCTGGGTTGCAGGTGAAAGGGTTGATTTAGTTCTTCTAATTTAAGAATAGAACTGATTTATACTGTTCCGTCTAAGGCTAAGCTGAAATTTAACAGCCTTCTATAATCTTACATTTTAATAGGAGAAATTCTTAGTTTTCAGAAAAGCTTAATAAGCTTTAAATTTAGCATTAGTTAAAATTAACTTATCTTCTTAAAAAAACCCGGTACAGACATTGGCTTCTGTAATAAATAAGTAAAACGGAATAAATTTAAGCATTTGGTTGAGACTTTTTGCTAGAATTACCGAGTCCTACACCCTCCTGTCACCCCTCAAAATGACGAGGTAAGAGGTTTGTGCAGGTGGGCTCAAGTTCAGAATCAGGCCAGGCCGACAAAGCTTTTGCTCCAGCTAGCAGTATCATTCAACAACAGCAGTGCCTCCGCTGTCCTTATTGACTTTTTCTTACCTGCACAGCGGCAGCTGTTAAAAATCTACATTTTTAAACTGGCGGCATTTTATTACTTTGGACAACTGATTAAAGATGGACGATTTTGCCCATTTTACCACATATACCAGTATTTAGAAAAGGGAAAGTATGGCACAGGTATGGCAGCATAATGCCAAAATATTCTGAAGAAAATAATTTAATTCTGCACTGTACTCCAAGAGCAGTACTTTGTTCCCACTAAATGCTAGTAGGACCAGATTTTACCATTTTCCAACTTTTGTATAGTCTCTAAAGCACTTGTAAATCTTTGACATTCATACTTGTGAGTAGAAATATGTGGTACTGGGACTGATTTCTCCATTTTCTGCACTGATGTGAACCGGATCTTCAAAATCTTTGCAAGCCTGGCCTTCCAAGCTTTAATACTAACCCTTAATGCCAACTTACATGCATGCTTATCCAGTAAAAGAATGAATAATGTTCTTTGTTGTGGCATGGTGCTTCAGGGTTTTCTGTGTGTATGAATGAGGTAGTGGTAGAGAAACGCTGAGAGCATTCTAACAAAAGTTGGGGTAATTTTTTAGTCAGAAAAACTAATGCTGGGAAACGTGCTGAATGATTTTGACTTCCTTTTTATTAGATACTTTTTCCAATATGATTAATTGGGATGTGTATGTGTTCATACCTCTGGACCTTTCAGTAGTGCATTAGAAGTGCTGTGAATTAGGTATATCAGGTTTTCGGCATGGAATCATTCAAAACATATATCATGTCAGTGCACAATAAGATCTACAGATACAGCGAGGATGACAATGCCCTCCATTGGGAATATTGCTATTCACTAAAACCACATAAACCTGAAGGAAGTGCAAGATGCACATACATGTCTTTTTCCCTGGTTATATTCAGCTGTGTCATGCTGATGAGCTCTATTGAGGACAAAAAACTGTCTGGCTGCTGATTTTAACTTCATACAGAAAAAGAAGTCTGCTTAGATGTTTTCTGCTTTCTGGAAGTGTGAAATTGACAGAACTAAGTGTTGTTCACCCCCCCCCCCCAATTCTCTATTATTTTCTTGAGTGTCATAAATATTATTTGTGCTTGACCATTACATCTCCTAATTGAATAATCATTCTGTCAAGTGAGTATCTGATAGGGTGATTCAACTTATTTAACACAGTGTAAACCAATAATTTTAGAAAAGATGTCCTTGTCAAATATACATTTAGTTTAACAATCCTTAACTTATTACACTTTAATCATCCACCATCTCTGCATCTTTATTTTGCAGTAGCTTTAATAAACAATTAATTGTGCATGTTAAAGGTTTGGGGAAAATATATTTTTCAGAATTGTACTACACCCTTGCAAAACCTTCACTTGTTTTGTTTTGAACTTTTGCATTGCTGCAGGAATGTAATTGTAACACTGGATATTTTCATTTTCAGATCTTGAGCTGTCTGTAGGTAGTTGATGTGCACTGGCTTTAAAGTAGCCCCACACCCAAAAAAAAAATAAGTCACAGGATTTTAAATTTGGAGAGTATGTTAAAACCAATCCCAGCCATTAGATATTTTTTTCTGTGCAATGATTTGCAATCACCCAACCTGTTAAACTCTATTAAAAGCTGTAGTGGACGAGACTAAATAAAATAGCTTGCATTTACTGTTGCACACATTAAACGTTCTGTGAATTTTGAAAAATTATCAAATCTTTTCTGAAGGCTCTGTATAAAAACTCCTTTTTGTATAGTATGTAGTATTGCTTTCAAAATGCAGCAATTAGATAAATGATCCTGATTATGGCAAAACATACAGTACCAGTGATGTATTGAAATTTTAGATCCAGTTCGTTATCATCCAAAAACACAATATAGAGGATTTCGTGAATCTGGTAGTTATGTTCAGCTGCTTTCCCACAGTTCATTAGGGAGAAGACGGTATCGTTTCAAAGTGCAGTTTCTTTCAGCGCCTCCAGTGTGGCTATTAAGACACTGCAAGTACATTGCATACCATATTCGGAACCCAGTGTGCAGTGTGCATTGTGCATTCCTACAGGGTTTGCCAAATGTAACAGCTAGGGTCCCTGTTAGAGGCAGATTAAGATTTAACTGACAGTTTTTGCTAATTGATATTTTAGGGGAAATTAACATAATTAGTTCCAGCTAAGTGGTTTTTAATAAAACCTGTTTTTCAAAACCTGTCGGCCAGTGCTGCAGAACTTGACTCTGGGATGGGATGGTGTTATTAAGATAAAGAAGTGCCATGGGCAGTGATGCAGTTCCAAATTTCATTCATATTCTATATGTCCATGCAGATGAAATGTATCCTCTACTCAGTAGAATTATGGGACCTTAGTTTTCTGTTGTAGGCAGTTAAGTGTGTATACAGGCAGGGACCTTTTTGAAATACGTACAGTGTATGGTATGCGCTGGTGGGCAAAAAGCTAAAAGCACTTTTCACGTTTTTTATTCAGCAATTTTGAAAATAAGCTTCAAGCAGAAAATTGAAATCAAGTGAGGCTCAATGATAAAGAATTTCGCTGCAGCATAATACAGAAAACAGGTTCCCCCAGGGCCGCTATTGAAAGCCTGGGGGATAGTCCATCATGGCACTTAGCAAGTGAAATTTAAGACAACCACATGAATCCTCTGATGGCTTATAGGACAAGCCAGGGTAACGTGAGAAATGTGAAAATCTGCTGAAAGATCAGTCTCATGGTATAGTCTGGGCTTTAGGATCGGGCTGTTTTTTAATGTGGGTAAGTGACGTAAGTGCCCTTTGAGACAGTGGTGGTGTCCAGTGTACATGCACTGGCACACACCTGCGGTGAAGCTGTGTGTATGTGCACTGGCCGCAGTTCCAGCACACTGCGAGGTACAGAGCAATGATTCCACTTAACTGTGGGTTTGGATCAATGCCAGGCTCTGAGGGACGGCAACAAACTGGCACAGATGGAGGAGGCACCGCGGATTCCAGGAGAGTCCATCAAAGCCATTGGTGAGTCCCCAGCCTCTCAGCTCACCGTCGAGACTGTAACGTAGTTTTTGTATTTTCAGTCGTATTAAAGCCGTTCTACCCAAACTTACAAGGCAGATATGAATGTGACAGTCAAGAGAAAACGCAGAAGCAGAGCTTTGCTAGGGTCACAGGAAAGAGAGCGTTCTGTGTTTTTGGCCGACTGGATCAGTGACTGTAAGCTGTCCTCTTAGAGCACTACAGGACTGTGAACTGAAGCTGAACTTTTTAAGAAAGTGAAATTCACAACGTTTAGTTTTTGATCAGTTTTGTTCAACTGATTCAGCTCTTTCATTACCTACAATTAGCTTTAATTATGTTATAAATATGTCAGTGTAAAAATATCAGTACCATCAGAACTTAATACCAGATAAAGATAAACTCTACAGTTGCCACAGTCCTAATGTCAGAAGATGAAATAGGAATTGGTTTTACAGAATTGCAATGAAATCTGCACACTGGAGCAGGTTACCAGACTAACACGGACCCTGTGGTAGTTTCAGCATAAACGAGGTTCTCTTGTTTCTGCAGCTAAAGATGTGATGTACATCTGTCCGTTCACTGGTGCTGTAAGCGGTACCCTCACTGTCACAGACTACAAGCTGTACTTCAAGAGCATGGAGCGGGTAAGGACCTTTTATGGCCTCTCTGTTGGTTATGCTCTGCCTAGTCCATGGCATGTTTCTGCATTTGAACTAATTCAAGTTACTAAATCAATTGTACTGCAGTTTATTTTCATTGGCTGTAGGTGTTGGTGAACCTAGTTAAAGCAGGCAGAGCAGTGAGTCTTTCTTAAGAGATCATCGCTGTACACTTCTGCTGTTGTATTCTCTGTCGGAATAACGACAGGAGCCACCTTTTGTATTGGATGTCAATCTGGGAGTGATCAGCCGGCTGGAGACCATTGGAGTGCAGAGTCATGGAGAGAACTCCTGTGGCATGGAGATAGTGTGTAAGGTAAAAAAGTCTTAGTTAGGATTTTTTATTTTTTATTTCATGGTGTCTGCATTTTTTACAGCAAATAACAAGATTCTATACAAAGTTTTGCTAGTAGTAGACTATGAAACTTTCAGAGTGACACTGCTTCATATTACCATCTAAAACATGAAGGTCTCCAGAACAGTGGAGACCAGCAGGGCACATGTACTGTGTGAGTAGTAGTGTTGAAATAGTTGTTTCAGTGAATTGTGTAACACTCTTTTGAGTACAGTAAAATATATTTTCTGTGCATTTCATTTCATTTGTGCATTTCATTTCATTGTGCATTGTTTCTTTTGATGACAGGATATGAGAAACCCCAGGTTCGCATACAAGAAGGAAGAGCAAAGCAAGCTGGAGATTTTCGAAACCCTCACAAAACATGCTTTCCCCCTGTCTCAGGATTTGGTGAGCCAGCAGGCTTTGCTTTTTGATCAGTAATACAGCTTACTGAGATTCACTTATACAGAAAGCATTCTATAATGATTAGATGTAAGGCCTGCTTATGTATCACATAATAGGTGAAAAAAGTCATTGCTATGTCTTGTAATGATGGGCTACAAGCATATTTGAAAACTTAGCTCTTGGTGCTATCTCAAATTTGCTAATTCACTTTAAACTGTATTTTAACTATCGTTTACTTGGATGTTTGATTATTCAGTACAATGAGAAGAAGTGTCTCTAAATTTAGTTTATAAACTATTTTTTCACCAGATGATAAATAGTAAATTGATTTGTTTTAGATGTAATGCCCCAATACTTTTGTTCCTGACAATACAAGTTCTAAGTGTAAATAACAGGAATAATTTCTGACCATCTAAGGTGCACATCCCTGATGCCTGTAAATATAACTTAAAGTCAAAACAAAAATAATATAGGCATAGGCCATTTAAATAGTGACTTTTTTCTTGAACCATAGAGTTAAATTAACTTAATTTTTATATTACGCATTTCTCTAATACAGTATTTGATATATGTGAATAGAGTGTTCTGTCCTCATACCTTTTAACATTAAATACATCAAAATCGGAGAGTTTCAAGTTACTGTAATCAAATTATCCATGTAATTAAATTAGAATTTTAAGTGATTAGCTTTATTTTTCCTGTCTCTAATCTGCGATGCTTACGCCCAGTGATTTTGGAACTGTACACAAACCCGAATCGTGTTAGAACTCTTGTAGCAGGACTGTCAGTCACATCCTTTTGTGCTGTTTTTCAGCCACTGTTCGCATTCCTTTACAAAGAGATGTTTCCTGTTGATGGCTGGAAAGTATATGACCCTATAGCTGAATACAAAAGACAGGTAAAGGCAGAATGACTTTTCGTATGAATACAATTCCTGTTTGACTTAAAACAGTATAACCATAGCGAAGGTCAGCTGAGGGTTCTACTCTCAGGATTTCCGAAACAAATCTGCAGCTCAGATGCATCAGTGTTAAAAATGTTTGTTACAAGAGATTCCTTCCATTGTCAGATGTGTATTCTTTTTGAGGGTTACAGCCCCCCTGGAGTCCATCCAAGAAGCACAGGGGCACACAAGCAGAGCCAGGTCTACACCCTAGTCCTCCCCAGGATTTGCGCACACAAACACACACAGGCACAATACAGAGATGCCAATTAATGTGGGAGGAAAGGGGAGTACCACAGAAACCTAAGTCGAACATAGGGAAAATGTGGGGAATATATCCTGGGTTGTCCGTCTTTGAAATTATTTTTGAATTAAATGTTTTCACAGAAAATTGTTTACCTCGTTCACCATCTCATCATCCAGTCAAGCAGTTCAGCCCCAGGGTTTCGACTGACCGCTCAAGAAAATTAGAGGCAGTGGGGCTCATCTGCACCCCTATAAGCATATCGGGGCTCAAAAAATCAATTAACCTAGTATGAATTACTTTGTTCACACACCAAAATATATGTCAGAATGTACTTAGCCTAATTATAATGAGTTAATTCATCCTCTGTGGAGCCGTGATGGCAGTTGTCCTATGTTTCACCTCCCTCTCTTTCAGGGGCTGCCCAATGAAAGCTGGACGATCAGTAAAATCAACAGTGGTTATGAAGTGTGTGACACGTACCCCGCGCTCCTTGTGATTCCCACCAGCATTCAAGATGAGGATCTGAAAAGAGTGGCTGCATTCAGAACCAAACAGCGCATCCCTGTGAGCTCACGTGAACAATTGTACTATGTGTTCCGTCACTATGGCCACTCAAGCCAAAGCATTCTTGCTGTCTGTCCCTAAATTGCCAGTTTGCTCACATACAGCATGATTCCTGACTTTCTCCCTCTCCTGAAGGGAAGTGCAGTGTTACTAGCAGTAAATGTTTTGTGCCATTCCCAGAGTTGTTTTGATCAAGACAAGTTACATTTCATCCTAGACCCCAGGATCCCGTGTTTGGTGTTGGTCACACAGGGATAAAGAGACACTAATGAACATAGTCCATGTTTTTCAAAATTTGAGGCAACCAGAGCAACCCTTGAAAATGGGGGGAGATCATGCAAACTCTGCACTGAAGTCCCTATCCACAATTGAACCCAGGACCCAGGAGGTGTGAGGCAGCAAAGCTTTGCCCACTTTGCCCACTGTGCTGCCTACATGCAATGGAAGATGTAAATATGTACATACAAGAACACAACTAAAAGATTCAAAATAGACTTCAAGAGTTTCAGCTTGCTGAGTGTTAAATTGTGTGGAATTCCAGGAAATGGGAGCATGCTGACAAAATACTCGCAGCTTTTTTCAGGCAGGTACAACCAGAATATCTTGAGTCTGCAGGTCTGAAAAAGCGCACAGAGGGAAATAAAGATGAAAGAGCATCGAGCATGAGGAGCGTTCGATGTTTTGTCAATACAGCCACTTTAAAGTCAATTGCTGCCACATAGGTCGTCAGTGTGATGATTTTGCTGTTGGTACTGTATATGTTTACAATGCCTCGTGTGAGAAAGTCTTGATCAGAAGTTTGCAGCCTTCTGACTTTAGTTTAAACTGTGTAGATGAAGGTTCATGTCAGTCTTGCTCCGCGATTTTCAGCCATTCAGAAGTTACCAGATGTGTCTGATGTTGTGGCAATAGGCTTTATCCTGGATCCATCCTGAAAGCCAGGCTACGATCGTGCGATGCAGCCAGCCGATGGTGGGGCCGACAGACAAGCGATGCAAAGAGGATGAGAAGTTCTTACAGACGATAATGGACGCCAATGCCCAGTCACATAAGCTCACCATCTTCGACGCCAGACAGAGCAGCGTGGCGGTAACAAACAAGGTTCGTTTGGGATGTCCTGAACATGAACGTTAATAGTGTGGAATAGTTTTGTGAATTTTCATTGTTGCAGATGTATTCATCTCTCTTCTTAAAACCTCTTGACTTCGATTTACATTTTGCTGATTAGTTTTACTGTTTCGCACAGAAAAAAACGAACGCAAACACGTTGAAAGAAGTTCTTGCCCACCCTACAGTAGTTCATTGCGCCACAAACTAATACTTAATTTTCTTTTTTCCGCAGACGAAGGATGGCGGGTTTGAGAGTGAGAGTTTCTACCCGAATGCTGAGCTGACCTTTTTGGACATCCCCAACATTCATGTAATGAGGGAATCTCTCCGCAAACTGAAGGAGGTTGTGTACCCCGTGATCGATGAAGCCAAGTGGCTGTCCAATGTGGACTCCACACACTGGCTGGAGTACATTCGGGTAAGACAGCTAGACCGAAGGAACGAGAATGAGAAATGCCATAATCTTCTTTTTTTTTAAACAAATTGTGGCATACACACTTCTCGAAACATTTTAGACTTCACTTCCAGACAGATCAAAGTTATGGAAAATGCAAAGACAATTAAATGTCCTGGAAGGGTGAAAAGCAATGTCACATTCACAGAAACAGAAAGATTGAGGTATTAATGAGGCTACTTTGTGCACTAACAGTCACAAAGTGCAATTATTGGAGGTAACCTGGAAGATGGTGAGTGAGCGCTGAATGTAAAAATGACAAGGAAAAGCCTTGGAACGTAATCCATCAGGGATTGAGGGCACCTTGAGCATTACTAACACAAAGTAAGACTGCAGTCGGATGAAAGGTCACTTTCTAAATACATGGCTTCACCCCTCTTCTTGCCATCTAGCTGCTCCTGGCGGGAGCAGTGCGGATCGCGGACAGGATCGAATCAGGGAAGACGTCAGTGGTGGTGCACTGCAGCGATGGGTGGGACCGCACTGCCCAGCTCACCTCCCTGGCCATGCTGATGCTGGACAGCTACTACAGGACCATCAGAGGCTTCGAAGTGCTCATTGAGAAGGAGTGGGTCAGCTTTGGGCACAGGTTTGCCGCGGTGAGTCCCGGATGAGCTGGTAATTAAGAAACATTGCATTGCAGGATGGTGGTACACCTCCAGCATGCCCTCATCTGAGCTCTCATTGAGACAGCAGGATTAGCCACAGCTCACACTTACTCCTAATTCTAAAGAACTGTTTCTAATACAGTTGTACAATCCTGGTTCTGTAAAGCCCTGGTGTGTCAATGAACTTTCGTTCCAACTGAGCACCTAATGAGCTAAACTTGTTTGTAACTGTCTTAACTGGACCAGTTTAACAGCTTCTTCCCCAGATGTGCAGGTGCTTCTGCTTTAAAGAGATTTTTTGAAAACCGGCAGAAACACCATCCCTGTAGGACCTGGATTGGACACTCTTGATTCTGGTCTGTTGTTTTATTGAGGTTACGTACGTGTTAGGATCCTGTTGGATGTGTAAGTCTCTATCACTCCCTCCACAGCGTGTGGGCCATGGGGACGAGAATCATGCCAACTCCGAGAGGTCCCCTCTCTTTGTGCAGTTTATCGACTGTGTCTGGCAGATGATGAGACAGGTAAGAGGGGCACTGAGGTGAGAAACTTGCTTGCAGAGTACGAAAACCCAGCAACAGGTGTTTTAGATGAAAAGCTCTGAACAATTCTTTAATGATTGAAAGAAATTGGAATATCAGAAGAGAGTCCTATTATTATATCAGAAGCTAACAACAGCAAATGTTGAGGGGTCTGATTTTTCCAGTGTCTCTTTTTAGTATTGAACCTTTCTTTTAATATAATGTTCTGCATCCTAAACAGGCTGTTTTCATTTACAGTTTCCAACTGCCTTTGAATTCAATGAGCTGTTCCTCATCACGATCTTGGACCACCTCTACAGCTGCCTCTTTGGAACCTTTCTGTACAACAGTGAAGTGGAGAGACAGAGCAAGGTGCCTTTTGGATGATTTATTATTTATATTGTTATTTATAATAAAATTGGATGGGGGACAGAAGGTGCAAAACTACAAAGAACAGTTTAGCCAGCTAATGCACAACTTACAAAAATTCCATTCCTCTCCTTTTTCTCTTAGGAAGTGCACACAAAGACTGTGTCGCTGTGGTCATACATCAACAGCCAGTTGGAAGACTTCACCAATCCCTTCTATGTGAATTATGAGAACCACATCTTGTACCCAGTGGCCAGCCTGAGGCACTTGGAGCTTTGGGTGAATTATTATGTCAGGTGGAATCCTCGCATGAGGCCTCAGGTAATTCATTGGCTCATTCATCTGGAATATTAATCCCTATAAATAAAATGACCTGATTTTCCATAGAAATGAAGCGTTAGGCTAGTAACAGGTACAATAGGTATCAGTGTGCAGTATATGAGTCATGTTAGACGAATTTATGTTCTAAAACATGGCAGACAATTGAAAGTTATAGAAATTGTTAAAAATAATAGGAAACCGTTCTCTGTCTTCCAGGCTGAATAGTTCTCATAATCTTTGTGCCTTCAGTCTTTGAATCTTGCTCATTAATCAGTGAACCATACTATAGTGGCTGATGTCCTAATTTTCTCCTTTGACAAGATGCCAGTGCACCAGAATCTGAAGGAGCTGCTGGTGATCCGTGCGGAGCTCCAGAAGAAGGTGGAGGAGCTGCAGAGAGAGGCCGCCGCCCACTCCATCTCCTCCTCCTCGGACCGGGGGTCCTCTCCCTCCCATTCCAGCACCCCACTTCACACCACTGTCTGAGCAGACCCCTCCCCCGGCACTGCAGCCTGATCTCCCACCCTGTGTCACTCACACTCTCCTCTGGAAGGAAGAGATTTCACTCACACCGCTGCCAGTGCACAAGGGAAGGGTTTACCAGACAAACAGGTACACAACGGCCTAATCCAGTTTATATTGTAGAAACTGCATCCTCTTACATAAGCACACCAGGTCCTGCACTTCTTTGGAGAGACTAATAGATCTGAACGTCTTCATCAGCACAAACCTAGCTTTCAGCAGAATCTGAAGAGGTTCAAACTGCTGTGCAATAGGAATTGTCTCCTCATGGAAATGGTTGGAATAGGGTCTCCATCTCTCCTGCAAATAGTTCTAGCTAGAGCTGTACTTTATACACACCCTGGTGTTATAATTAATTTCCTGTGTACTGCCATTTGTCTGTCTGTTATTAACACTGATCACTTGTCAGTTCCGGTGTCTATGCTAATGACACCATATCCATGAGCAAAACAAATAAGGAATTCCTTCCAGGGTGAGAGCACTCATGTAACTCATAATTCCTTACATTGATATGGCGCTTTTTATCCCAAAGGAATCTGAAGCGCTTTACATACAGTATAGACCCACTTCTATCCAACACCGTGCAGCACCCACCTGGGAGACTCATGTCAGCCATTCTCTCAGAAGCCCCACTACACACTAGAGCAAGGGGAGGAGTGGGAAACTGCTCCATCTGGGAACTATAGGGATGCTTAGAGAAGAATTTAGACAGGACACCCCTGTTCTTTCGGAAAGTGCCATAGGATCTTTAATGACCATGTCTCATCTGAACGACAGCATCGCCTGCAGCACAATGTCCCCAGCACAATACTGAGGCATTGGTATGGAAATGCTGGTCCAGTGGGAAAAATGTCACCGACTGGTCCACCAACATCAGGTCTGTCATCAACTGAGCAGCCCAAAGTTGCTTGAGTCCTGATATCTGATGAGGTTGGGCCAGAAGGTGATTGCAGCTTCCTGTTGATAGATAGAGGACAGACTAGGTATTTTGAGAAAACAAATACCTCTTGCATAGAAAGGTTTATGGTCAGGCACCCCAGAACCCAGTTGTAAGTAATTAATTCTGTGCTGGGCAAGTGATGTGTAAGAGTTTGTATACAAGAGCATTGATCTCTACCTTCTTAAGAGATTTTGAAATGGTTGACATAATACTGTATATAAAGATAAATATATATATTTTAATGTTTTGCAATAAATATTTATTGTAATGTTGTTCAATTAGCTTCCCAACTCTAGAAAAGGCCCAGTCTGTTGCAGTGAAATATTTGGTCCTATTGCATGTTGTACATTAGCAGGTTTAAATTGCACAGCCCTCAAGAGAACATTTGTTTTCACGTTCTGCACACAGGACAATTTCTGCAGCACTTCACACGAAAGAGCAGACGAAGATAAAACACAATTATTAAATCCTAGTTAAAAGATTTATCACACAGAAATGTTTTTAGTCCTGATTTAGCATCTCATGCTTCTGAATGTCAGCCCTGACTATCTCGGGATAATGAGCTACCTCCCATCTCCCCGTGGGAGGCTCACAGACAGTGAAATATGAGGATAGCTCAGATACCTTGATTAATGTGTTTGCTCTAATAATTTTATTTTGTCCTATTCAGTCACCACTCTATTTGTTCAGAATTGCAGCTGAAAATGGGGATAACATTGTTTTTCCTATGCAGCCAAAAACTTTACTATTTTATGGTCCTTTCTACACGCAGACACAATGTGCTCCTACTGTACGTGAGACCTGTAGTATGGACAGTATGTATTTTTTAACTGCCTTCTTTCTTTATTGATGATGACTTTGGAAAACAATGTGTATTTAACCTCTATGACACTCCACCCCTGAAAATTCACCACACTGACCAGAAGAAAATTACTGTAAATCAGTTCTTTCTAACAAATCCCATGTGAAGAAATCGCAGTTACCACTGACAATTCAACAATGTCTATTGAAGCAAAATTAGTAGCAGTCAATTCATTTTAAAATAAAATGAGACTTTGTGCTTTACAATTAAATGGTACAGACAAATTGGTTTTACAATTATCTGCTCTCGGGTCTTCAGGAGTTTAATAACTCGGCAGCCCCCTGTAATCAAAAGGAACATCACAGTGTCTCTTTGCATCTCAATAAAAACAGTCCTGAATGCCTTCTAACATAGCTTAGCATGTAACATTCTGTTGCATGATTCTTGCAAGGCTATTCACTTGCCTTTAGGGATAGTATAGGATAATATATTTTCATTTTCTACGGAGTAGAAAAGTTTATTTGACCTGAGCTATTAAACTATCAAATGAATAAGATGAGCCAGATGGCTTCACCTCATTTTCAGCCTTTTTATGATGCAATGGGCAGTTGTATCAGTGTGCAAAGCTGCAAATGAACAAGTAAATATTAATCCTACTCTGAAAAAAAGATGGTTTGTTGTTTCTATGTTTTGATTATTGTAGTTTGTATAATTCAGTCGTCTTGAAGATTATAAGGATCTTAATTGAATCCCTGTGGATAATGGGGTACTCTCAGCAGTGCCCTACAGCTATCTAAAAGACATTTAAGGAAACTATTGTGACGATAGGAAACACAATATAATAGACAACATGTCTATGATAACACAATATCACACAAAAAAGTTCGTGGGAGCATAAATCAGCTTGTTAAAGCTGGGTTCGTTCATGAAACAGCTGAGTGAGATCTGTACATCAATTTCCTACTACCTGTCAAACAGACTAGCTGGGCAAATGAATCGCCTACTCTCCTTTTAAAACCTTATATTTTTGTAGAAAAAAAATGTTCAAAGGCATTGTATATGCAACCAGTGAGTGTTGGAACCAGTCATCTGTGATACCTGTTACAAAGAACCAATTTAGCCAATATAACAAAAAAAGTTAAAGTATGTGCATTATACTTGGGCAAAGATTTTTTTAAGCAGGATGTTTGGCACCGTTGTTTGATAAATGCAGATTAAATTTTGCTCTGTGACCTGAAACTGACAGTTTCACTTCACTGTATGCCAGTATTTGCTAAAAAGCTCCATCTCTGAAAGAGGGAATATTTCTAATATATCCTAACTTAGTGCTTTTTTATTATCCATTTATAATTGAATTGTTAAAATTGACTTCACACAAAGTTCCTTAAGCACATTTAACTCAAAAATGAAAATTATGAAAGCATATATTCTGACAGGTGTTATTTTTTTAATTTACAGTATTTCATGGTTATAATGCAATAATTGCAGCTGAGCATACTGCAACTTAGTGTTTCATGCCTTCATTAAGTCTGTTGTGAGTGATGTGTCTTTTGACTTTAGAGATGTGCCATATCTTTGGAGAAACTTAAAACATTCCATTATAATAAATCTTGAACCATGATAGTATGTCCTGCTATTTCTTTCATACAGAACACACTACATTCTTGCTAAACATTCTTGGGAACCAGTACAAAGCTCTTCAATTGTAATGCCTCTGAAACGGGCTCTTTTGCAGAGGTCTGCTTGCTGTTGTGTACACAAATGCTTAGAATTTGAAATGGGGTTCTTGTGTTAATTTACGTATTCTTCATTTTGAGAATTTAGACTTACAGCACACAGGACATCTCCTCTTTCCTCTCTGTCCTGTTCCACACCTCACTTTGGCTTCAGGTTATCTGTGTGCATTACCTGATTTTATTATTGTACAAAATACATTGAATACCACTACAACTGAAAATAACACAATTCTAAAAACTGGTCGGTGAAAAATTGGTGAAATATATTTCACTTTACACGTCAGCAAAGAGAAAGTTTCAGACAGACTCTTCCTCTTCTTCTTCTTCTTCTTCTTCTTCACAGCCTTAGTCCCAGACTGTCCTGGTGTCAGCTGCTTTGGTTGCTCTTCTCCACTTGTCTCTGTCGAGCACATCTTCCTCACTCACTTCACATACCTCCATATCTTTTCTCACACAATCTATCCATCTCCTGCCTCTTCCTCTGTTACCTTCCACCTCAAATTCCATTACCCTCTTTGTTACTTCCTCAACATCCCTCCTCATGATATGTCCATACCACCGTAACCTCGCCTCTCGCATCTTCTCAACCACATCCACCACCCTACATCGTCTACGGATTTCCTCATTTCTGATCTTATCCTTCATTGAAATCTGTAGAATCCATCTCAACATCCTCATTTCAGTTCTTCTCATCAAGTTCTCTTCCCTCTTTCCAACTTTCCAGACAGACTCTGCACCCCTCTAATATTACTAAGGCCTTTAAATAGACAAATCCCTTTGCTTAAATTTTACATTTTTAGATTTCTGGAAAAATTACATTTTAATTCAAACAATTATTTAGTGAATGTCAACAGCAGACTGGACTGTTTGAGGTGAGGGTATGTCGTAGTGCTTTGATATGTAATTTTACCCTGAGTATTTGTAGGCAATGATCAACAACAGTACAGATGTCTTTTTTATTAGGTTTATTGTATCCACAGCATTTCCCCAACACTTTTGAACACGAATGCATCATTAAAACAACATTCAAAGCAGTAGAAAGAGTACAGCCAATCAGTAAAGTTATGATGTCAACAAGTGTTCCTTGTAAACCTAATGGTTCGGAAGTGCTAGCAAGCATTCATCTGTGAAATCGCAGCCACCCCTGATAATTGTGAGATAATAGCGATTGCATGCTATTGTTACATACACTTCTAAAGCTCACTGTCAGGTGAAAACACTTAAGATACACGTCTGTTTTTAGATTAAATTATTTGTTAAATATCTGGCCACTCAATTTGGAATTGCCAATTGTATCTTTAGGTCTCTGCTCACAGAAGAATACCTGTTTTAACACCTCTGATACTCCCTGGACAGACTCCTCCCAACCCCGCCACTACAAGCTCTACAGCAAGGTACAGAAGAGTTAGCACCGCCATTCCTTGGGGACATCAACAGGAATCTCTTTCCCTTGTTGTCAAGGGAAGTCTAGCTGACCAATGACAGCCCTGCCCTGTGCAGTGCAGAGCCAACTGCATGCCCCTTTTCGGGGAATCCTGGCCACATGGACAACTTCCAGGGCCTGGGATCACAGAGCCCACCCCAGATGCTGAGAGGGCAGCCCCTCTACTGTAACTTTTTTAACAATGTAATTGTTGCAATGAAACTTCAATTTTTGATTCAGCAATAGAAAAAAAAAACTGAGCCTCTTTACTGTAGCACAAAGTAGAATTAGAAACACACACCAGGACACAGCTGGAAACCACACAGAAGTGCATTTATAAGCGAGAACAGAAGGCACTTCTTTTTCCAAAAGATAGTAGGAGTATGGAACAAGTTACCCAGCCATGCTGTTGAAGCCAGTACCCTGACGTCTTCGAAGATACTGATGGATAAAATAATTGAATTAATTAACTACTAACTACCAAACAGGTTAGATGAGCCAAATGGTTTCCTCTCATTTGCAAACTGTGTTCTTTTGAAAGAATGGAGGCACAGTGCAGAAACCCAGCTATGCATAACTGTAACCTACTATACCAAATGGCATCAGTGTAAGACACTGATCTCAAAAAATCTTTTTAACAACATTTAAATCTAGCTACACTGTAATCTTCCCTTCTTAAGAATTAATGCCAAATCTGAAATAAGACAATCAGATCTAAACAACCTGTTTATTAAAATAAGACTACAATGCAATTTATTAAATTGATCAACTGCAGGCGGCATCCATTAATCATTATCTAACCTCTTCAACAAATACAGGGTTGTAGAGGAACCGGAATCTATTCCAGCAAGCAATGGGTGCAAGGTGGGATACACCCTGGAAGGAACGCCAGTCTATCACAGCAGGGCCAATAGTCCCAGAAGCCAATTAACCTCCAGTATGTTGTTGGACTGTGGGAGGAAACCGAAATACCCAAAAGAAACCCATGTGAACATGAGAAGAACATTCAACTGCATGCAGATAGCACCCCAGCTCTGGAATTGAAACCATAATGATAATCACAGTGCCACCCTGCCTCTGTGTGCTACATGTTTTGCGAATTATAACAAACTGGACAAACCAAATCTTCCAAGATTGTTTGCTCAATTGGAAGTCTCCCACAGGACGGGAAAAGAGCTTCCCTCCGCAAACCAAGCAGCCTCCCTACCCCACAAGAAAAGAGCTGCAGCTACAGGTCAGAGCACCAGGGGGCAGTATGGATCTGTGAGTCTCCCACACTCCGTTCAGGCACTAGTCGAGCCGTCAGAAAAAGCAGCAGAGAAAGAGAACATTCTCCACAGCTTAATAACGTTTTTTTTTTTAATTTCAAGAGACATTTCAAGCACATTTCTCCCAGTCTGACTGGTAGATCGGGAGACAGGACACGCTCCAGGGTGTGAGGGGAGAATGAAAAATAAACCACGTCACGCACTTCTCAAAACCCACAAGTCTCAACTGTTCCCACAAGAAACACATCATTGGGACCTGCAGTCTCAAGAGCACATCGCAGTGTTGCAGGTTCTAGCTGACAGAACATCTCAAAATAGCGCATTAAAAGAGCCAACATCTGTAGAATTAACTTTAATGACATAATAAAATTTTATAGTACCTTCTAGAATAAGATAATTAGGTGGCAGGATTTCCTGATTTAGTTCAGATAATACATAAATTAACACGCAGTTTCATGTGCATTTATGTTCCCATTTTCAACTTCTTGTCCTTTATCAACTAATCACCCACATCCACTGGAGATACTGAATTAAAGAGAGCAGGCCACACAGGTTGCAGTGAAAGTCAAGATATGATGCATCCCTTCGTATTCAACTTGCAACAGAAAATTCAAGCACTTGGAGAGCTAAATCCCTGCTCTCAGATCAGTTGAGGTCTAGTATGTTTTATCACTCTGCAGCACGATTGTAGAAAACTGTCAACAGTGAGCAGCAGGTGGGTTCATTTTAATTTTGGGCTCTGTTTCGCCACTCCGGTCCAGGGAATCACTCCTCTTAATATTATTCCAACAGCTGCGTCTGAGGGACCATGCTAATTGCCAGTCTGACATTCTCCACCTCCACAACACTTTCCCACTGGTCAGTAATTCCTGAGGTACGGAGTGCGCTGCAATTCCTTTAATTCCAAAAGGTGCACACATTGACTGCTTACACTTCTCTGTTTGTACAAGGGGCAACAGTGCCACTCATTAGCTGAGCTGTCATTCAGCAGCCTTTGTCACTCCCACACAAGGGTAGGCATGCAGTACAAGCAGAGGCACTGAACGACAATGCGTGAGCCGTCTAAAGTCACTTTAGCTTGCTTTGCGGTAATCACTGGTGACTGCATTTCAATTTCTCCCGAGCCTCCGACACAAAAACAAACATGCTGAATCATGCTGCTGCAGTCGATAAATATCCCCCAGGAGAAGATGGATAGAGAGAGTTTCTATGAAGAAACTCGGCAGCACAGATGATCAGAACAGCTTCTCATCTTGCAACCAGTTTTTGCTGTATTCTGTTCACACAGGTCTGCAGGTGTGGGTCAGAACTGCCCATCCCAGGGCCTGAAGGGCCCACTCAGCCTCAGGTGCTGGTTTAAAAAGACGTATAAATACCTCACAGACACAAAGGACCCCCAGCACCAGGTTTGGACACCCCTGGTTTAAATGAACAAACACTGTTCTACTGGCCTTGTATTTGAGACCTAAATACAAAGCCAGCATTTGTCAGAAGCCATATCACCCTGCAACTCAGAACTGACAACCCACTGAAGCTAAGCAGGTATCAGTACCTGGTTGGGAGACCTCCTCGGAAAAACTAAGGTTGCTGCTGGAAGAGGTGTAAGTGGAACCAGTAGGGGGCGCCCACCCTGTGGTTTATGTGGATCCTAGTGCCCCAGTATAGTGATGGGGACACTGTACTCTAAAAAGCCTCTGTCCTACAGAAGCGACGGAAAACTGAGTTCCTGACTCTCTGTGGTCTTTAAAAATTCCAGGGCGTTTCTCGAAAAAAGTAGGGCTGTTACCCTGGCGTCCTGGCCAAATTTCCCATTGGCCTTTACCAATGATGGCCTCCTAATAATCCCCATCTATTAATTGGCTTCAACAGTCTGTTCTCTTTCCCTCTGATAGCTGATGTGTGGTGAGCGTACTGGCGCACTATTGCTGCCATCACATCATCCAGGTAGGTGCTACACATTGGTAGTGGAGAAGGGGAGTCCCCATTACCTGTAAAGAGTTTTGAGTGGAGTGTCTGGAAAAATACAAAAATGTAAATGTATGGAATTATTATTAAGATACATTCAGGCTCATCTGACCTCACTCTCACTTTTCAGGTTTGAAAGTGCTTTTGCTTCTATTCAATCTTGCAACCTCATGTATATCCAATGAGAGGTGCTATTTAAAATTAATCGATAAAGAAAACAAGTTCTTCAGCCCTCTAGGATTGAAAAAGCTCTGTGGGTTATATTTCTAACCCTTCTTTTATAACCTACATCTCACAGTGTTGAATTGATCGTATAAAAACTCAGAGCTTATTAATAGAAAATGTACATCTGAAAGCATGCCTAGGAATAACAGCCCTTTTGTTATAAATAACTAGGGGCTGAACTGTGACAGGTTTTAAAGCCTGACAGCTCAAGAACCAGAAGGCAAGCTGTTAAGCAAGCATATTCAACAGGACAGACGAGCATAAAGGAGACTGCTTAACATTTAAACAGTCAAAGAAACAAAGAGGACTTCCACAGAGAGACTGTGTCAAGTACCAGGGATACAAGAAGTGAAGACGAGGGCTCCCACCTCCTGCCCTCAAGATCTTGAATCCAGCAATTTGTCTAGGTCTCTTTGAATTATCAGCAGAGAAAGCTGATAAACCTTCAGTTAAACGCTTCTGCCATTTGTTCATTACTCGAAAACCCCACTGAAATCCAGAGCCCAAGGGCCAGGGACCATATCTGGAATTCTGCTTCTTATCGTTGACAGGAAAGAACTTCCTGACGTGTTGCCATGCCGCCAATGAAGTGCCCCACTGATGGGCGAGATCACTTCCTGACTCCTCAGAAGGGTCAAGGGTCATGGATGGCCAATGCATATTCACCACGTGGATAGCGGTGCAAGAAAAATCGGCAGTGTGAAACGGAGTGTGGTGTTAAATACTCCCAACCGGGGTCTGTTGAGATTTAAGATTTTGTGACCCTAAATCATGTTTCAAGACAAGCACCACCTCACACAGTGGGGACTTTGCTTAGTGGTAATTGGCTTTAGGTCATGCGACTTCACATTGATAGGAAAATGTTCCAACTGCTGTTTTGGAGCAGTTAAACTGGACGTTACAATAGCAAGTACCCCACATACACACGGCCATGTAGACAGGTCTGTGTATGGAGCAGTGGAGAAGGCTCTGGTGATCTGTGACAAGGATCAATAGTCTAGTAACATAACATTGTTGAATTGTCTTAGAGGTAGTGGGGGGTTTGAAAAAGCCATTTTTCATTTCTCAAGTTTGAAATACTTCAAACTTCAAATAAACCTGCTTGTTTAAATCCAGTTTTAACAGAGAGATGTGAAGACGCTGCTACTTGGCGATTCACCTCGTGGGGGGGGGGGGAGACAAATCGCGCAAGGTAAAAACTGACACTGCACTGTCTTTCTTCCACTCACTGAAAAGGAAATGGCTTCAGTGCCATAATCAGAAATTTCAAAGAATAAAACAATACATTCCACAGATTCAGTACACTGACAATCTTCAATCTACAGAGCCTGCTGAGGAACCTATCCAGGCCATGCAGTAAGAAGGTGCACAGCCCTGATTATCCACAAACAACATCTCCCATCTGCAGCACAACAGCAATTAACCTGTTTGTATAAAAGCTTGGTAGGCAGGATTGTACTGCAGTCAGGGGAGATACTTCAAATACATAGGACTCCACAATATTAATTAACCAATATACTAGGACAAACAAGATAATCCATTAGCGCTAAAACTACATTACAATTCAGCACCCAACAACGCGATCTAGAAACAGTAATTTACCCTACAACAGTTACAGTACATTAAATCACGGTCCTACATAGAAAAAAGTTAGTGTGAGGAAAAAAAAGCACTTTGACAAAGTTGTAGAGCTGAAGGCTAGTGACTTGGACACTGTAAGAAGCAGAAAAGTTTTTAGAAAATCACTGCCCAAGTCAAGATGTAGTATTTGGGAAATGCACTATGCCTTTATGCACAAAATATGGGACTGGATGAACTGCTTTGAATAAACTTCCGTTTAGCTATGAGAATCAACTCAACTCCTCTGACAGCCCTACATTTTGTTTTGGGTATAGTGCTAAAAGTCACATGGATCCCAAAGTGCCCCTGTTCCCCCAGGGAGCACTGAAGTACAGGAAGCCACCCTTGAAAAGCACTTGCACTGATGTGCCGAATTAGGAGGAAGACAGAAGGTCATTAATACACTAAAAGAAACATAAAATAATTGACGGAAGCAGGAGTACCAAATGACCAAAAATGGTCATAGTTTCATACAGTCAAAATGCCAGTGTAAATAATATACAGTAATGTGCTAGTAAAAAGGTTAGGAGTATCTCCTAAATCCATTTACTGTGGCACCCCAGATCTCTCGACAGTCAAAATTCTCCTTCACAGTTCATTTGCGTCAATTTGCACACTAGAACCAGATTCTACTGGCCATGTTTTGGAACAAAGCAGTCTTTCCAGTTCAAGTTGTGGGTTTTTGAAAAGGCAGTTTTCAGTACTATCATGAGGCACTAATGCAAAAAATGTGCAGTGTTACAGGTATTTCAATTAAATTACAAAGCACATACAGCTGCACTCACTAAAGGCTTTGCTTTCTTTCAACAGTAACCCCTACAGATACCTCAAATCAGATTAAAGAAAATCATTCAGATAAAGAGGAGACGGTATCCGAAGAAATACAGAGAGCTAAATTGAGGAAGTTAAGACTGAAATTCCTTATTATGTGTGCTGAGAGGAATTAAAAACACAACAAATGTGTTCTGGATCCAATAGCATTTGCTGCATTTTCAACGTCTCTCCACATATTTCTGTTCATCCAAACAACCTTCGCTATGAGACAAAAATGAAATAAAAGGTCTTCCAATCTAAAAGGTCACTCAGACTGACTTGTCTGTGTGGAGACTGCCATAACTGGACATGTCTAAACGGCTTTAAGTCAAGAGGGTCCAGGATGGGGTCATGGGTCTTTCCTCGAGGTGTTAATTGTGAGTGGGAAAGAGAAATCTGCTGTTGAAAATAAATCAACTTTCAAGTGTTCCTTATATCAACAAATAGCTGTTCTCATCAAGCTTGCCTCAGGCATCGTGTCCCCCTGGAAAACAAACTGAGGCCTTGCAGGGTCTTCACTTCACTTTCACTGGTAGAAATTGGAAAAGGGGAGAGCAAAGGTCTGAGGCACACACCTTAACGTCTTCTGCAAGGAAGCGTCGTGTCCAACCTGAAAGAATAATTAACCAAGAATAGAATTCTTCAGAATGTCCCGGATCTCGAGGTGACCCCTTCAGTCCTTTCTTTGGAAAGCGTTAGACCGTAACAGGCTTTTGGGTCTGTCTTCCACCTAATTAAAAGCTGTGTAGAGTGACATTAAGGAGCTGACACCACAAGTACAACCAAGGGAGTAGACGGCTTTTCAAACTACGTTCTCAGAGGAAGTGTCCTGGAAGAGCCCTTCCTGGCCACAGCTAGACCTTGTTGGAGTCCTGAGCGGGCGGCTCTGAGGAAGGAGACTGGAGGAGGGTCTGCTGGACTGAAAAAAAATGAGACAAGAAGTCATAACCCTGGGAGATAGGTGTAGGAGCCAACCACAAAGTCTCCACTAAACTCAATATTCTCTTTGATAAAAGACGTCCATTTTTAAAACCAGGTATTTTCCTCTAGCAATTTATTTGCTCGGCCCTAACATCTGGGATTGCCAATAGTTAGAAAATTATGATTAAAATTATTATTAAAATATATTTATCTAATTTTGCCATCACTGTACAGTAATCAACTCAAGGCCAATGCTTACACCCAGCACAGAAGGGATAAGGGCAACAGATATTACAAGTCAGAAAAATGCACAGCGATGATTCACTTCTATCTCAGCGATAACTCTGCGAGCCCGAGGGAGCCCAGCAGAGCAACTTCAAACCCACCCGATAGACTGTCTGTTGCTCTGCCACATTCTCGGGAATTCTGGGGAATTCCCATTACTGCTGGCTACAGTCACCAAGCGTGATCTGACTTCATTGCCGATACAATCCTTGTGGCCTTGAAGACACTTGTTCGTATGGTCACTCCATGAAAAAGAATCCGAACGAGAGACTTTACCTTGAGGCTCCTGAGCGACGACAGCTTCCAACGTGTCTCCTTTCACATACTCGGCATTTAGACCCTCTGCAGTAAAAGAAAAGCACTCGAGGTTAATACCCAAACATCCAGGTCAGGTCTCCTTAACCGTGCATCCAGAGTGTGACAGAGGAACTCCCGAGAGCAGAAGTCTTACTCCACCAGCTTGGAACCAGAAACAACTGCCCATAGCAGGCACACCAGACCCCAAAGTCAATACCTAACACCACAGCAGGATGCCTGAATTAAAACGAAGTTTCACTGCAACAGATAAGCATGCTTCTTATCCACTTTCCCACACCCTTGACCAGAGCTCAACATCTGGTTAAATCACCTCTAGAACTAAAATTTCAAAGAGGCAGGAGCAGAAGAATTGTGGATATAAATCATCACACACAGGCTGGAGGCAGATTATAAGGAGACTACACACTAGTACTCAACATCCCGAAAAATACTGATAAAATCTATTATTTTCAAATACTCCGAAGAACCTGACACACAGATCTCAAATGAAAGGACGCTATTCAGCCAATGTTGCTCATTTGGGCAAGTACTCAATGTTTCCCATAACCCCCAGCACACACATCCCGCTTCAAACTTACAACACAAAAGAGAAACAAAAAAGAGATTAACAGCACCTTCTTAAACCAAGTCAGAGAAATGATATTTCATACCGAAAAAAGCTCCTTATTTCCCCACCAAAGAAAAGAAATCTATCGAAATCTAAAAACGGACAAATGCAACCACTTTAGGAGTTGAAAAATCAGTTCCCCAGAGGACAGGAGAGCTGCCAGGTAATGAAAGCTGATGAAATCAAAGTGGAGCTGAAAGATGCTTGTGAATGACTGACCTAAGCCGTATCAACTGCTGCAGTGCAGGTCACTCCTTTCAAAACCTGAGGAAGATATTTGCAGCATTTCTGAGCCCATTTCTGTTAAAAGCAATTCTGAGTCTCCATCATTCCCGAAATGTAGGAACGCCTTGCCGTTACCTTGTATGCTGAAGCAAAACTTCTTCTGCTGGTAGGAGATGTAGCTGGAGACGGCTCCGATCAGCGCCATAGCGAGGGCACTGGCGATACCTGCGATGGTTCCGGTCTCGGCCGTGCTGTCTGCGGACAAAAAGCAGCTGGAATGATTAAGAGTATCGGATTATGCGATTCCTGCAGAGGGGATTACAACTACCGCCCTTCTGAGTGGTAAATCTACACTGTGGAAAGTTCTGATGAATGCTTGGTTCACAAATTCATAAAGATTCACAAATTGTATGAAAGCCTAGACATTTTCTAAGGGGCTCACCAACTGCTGTAAAGCTGAGACATCAGCCTGTAATCTCCGGATAACCAGACCTTTTCCTGGTCACCTGATTTCATAAACCCCTCGGTGATGTCTGCACTTGAAGATTGCACTCACACCTACCGTAGTTGGTATCATCAGATGAGGCTGATCCTCTACCACGGTCTATGAAAGAAAGAAAGAAAATTATTTTTGAAATCTACAGAAAAAAAGTGGTGTGCATTTTGTTCAGGTGTACTGTGACATTAGGAAAGAGTCAAGAGCCATTCGCTGATAGTGAAACATAGGAAGAGCACGTGTCTATTGCTGTTCTTAATAACTATGCTAACGCTAACAATGAGCATCACACACGGTTCAGCACGTCTGTTGGAACTGCCATCAGCTCACAATCTTGAGGGACATTAAAATGACAGGATCTGATCAATTCATTGAAATCATAGGCTAATTACAATATATATTTTTTTTTAAATCAGTTAATCATTTTTTACCATCACCCCCTGTATAATAAAAAAAAATATATTTAAAAAAATAAGCACTACTTTGAAGAGTCATTACCTTTGGCACTATGGTAACAGAACTCCAGAGAAAGGCTAAGATTTGCTTTCATTAATTAGACAAAATGTGGTAATGCAAGGCTGCAGCAGTGATAGTACAATAAAAATTAAAACAGTTCTTATAATATATTATACCGAACTGATAACCTCACCCACTAATGTCTGCATGCTGGCTTTAAACAGGAACCACAGTTGGGTTAAACAAAAGCCTAAACTTTAAAAGGCGAGTGTTTGTTAAATTCTGTGCATCTGAAATGATCAGAGAGCAAGGACAAAGGCCACCATCATTCATATGCTAGATGTGGAAAAAGTCAGTTGCTCTATGTGACTGAACAGAGCCTTGCCCGAGTGGTGGAAAACAATACAATAACAGCACACACGGACTACAGAGACATCTACCGAAGACAAGCACACACCTCCTAAAGAATTGAAAGACAGCTACCTGGTTTTTTATCTGGGGAGTAGCCACCACCCTTGGAAATGTCCTCCAGGTCTTCATCTGTGAACGTCCCACCTGCAGGCACAGAAAGTGTCAGGAGGGGACAGGAGCCCAGCTGGATCGCACAAGCATTCCGCTCTGGTACCCTCCCAGGCACACAGGGCACATGCAAGAGGGGCAAGAGCATCAGCCAGAAGGATAATAATAATTGCTTACACTTATATAGCGCTTTTCTGTACACTCCACTCAAAGCACTTTACAGGTAAGGGGGATCCTCTCCAATACCACCAATGTGCAGCATCCACCTGGATGATACACCTGCCAGAGCTCTGCGCACATAGTGACTGACACCCAGCTCCAGGGACAAGCCTAGTGTTCGATGCTATTGCTACGTCAGCAATGAATGGCGATAATAACTGTAACAATAACTGTGCTTAATACCCTTAGTTTATAGAAAATGGTATGTTTCTGATATAGCGGGCCTGTATGTTTCCATGTCACGACCACCTGTGTGTGTCTAGCTTACTCTTCAAACATTTATAATAATAATAATAATAATAAACTTAATAAGATGGATTAAACATGTGCGAAGAAGAAGAAGAAGAAGAAGCAGTGTGCACAATTGCTGCAGGCATTCGAAAAGGAGAAGACACCCATGAAGCAAAAGATTTGGGACAGATCGTAGCAGTGAATATTACCAGTATTAGCTGAAATCACCATGCTGTTCTATCAGAACCCATAATACCATCTTCAAGGATGTATTTCAACTATTATACCCATTTTTGCATCTCAACAAATACAAACAAGCAGTACTGATCTTCAGTCTTTTGGATCAGCACTAAAAGTATGTCAATTGGAATGATTTTTCCAAATTAGAAATAAGGGGCCAGGACACCCATCTTCAGATATACTTTCTGCAAGACCTAATTCTGTGAGGTGTAGCAGTTGAACCATATCTTTGATTACATTTATTTAGACTACAATGAAAAAGAAACCTGTTTCTATTAACCTCTATGGAAGGTGTGTTTGCCACCCTGAGACAATTTAAGAGAATTACAAAAAAAGAGTAATCCCACTGTTCAATATCTCTGAAAGTCTGCTTTTTAAACATCTTAACCAGCTAGAAAACATTACAGAAACTAAAGAGACCGATAGAAACTGCAAGCAGTAATAAGATCAGGAAGATTTTGACTTTCAGCAGAAAGAAATCCAAAACCCACAACAAAAATACACAGCATGCATTATCACCCCATACCAGCACCTAATCTCTGAATTTAGCATTTTTTCTTGATTTAAGGAGAAGTCTAACCATTGTCCTATGGCCCAGCTGAAGAGTCTTGTTATTGGTTAGTTGTGTGAAGCAGCCTGCACTCTGACCTCACTGAGCAGGGTCAGAGGTCAGAGGTCAGGGGTCAGGAGAGACAGGAAGTTGAGGAAAAAGTGCCACCATTAGCAGGGAAGGTCAGGCCGACACCTTACCCTTCTTGTCTCCTCCAGTAGGGCCGTCATCACCTCGGGAGCCAGGAACTACTCCTTTATCTGACAGGTAGACAACATGGTTGTCACGTTCCACAGAACAGTGGTATTTCTGTCAGCCTGGAGTGCTCTTTTACTATCCAAGCACAGATCAACTGGGAAACCAACAACCTCCCAAGTTTTACTGCTGCCCAACATGGAGAGTGGACTGTTGCAGAAAAGGGTTTGTTCACAGTACCATGGATTCAATTGGGAGATATTTCACTAGGCCACAGTCCCCGCTGAAGGATAAAATAATTACTACATCTCACACCCAGCCAGTGTGCAGTTTTGTGCAGTTTTGTTATTAACTGAATAAAATCTTCCTAGCAGGGCAAGTGTGAGCCAGCTGGCAAATCAGTGATTAGCTGTCTATTAAAAGCCTCAAAATACAGATGAATATAAAAATGTACACAATATTGTTTCTATGGAGTCCATTGTTTGATATGATAGGAGGCTCTGCTTATAAAACACATCCCTCACATTCTGAATTAACTTTTTTTATCTTCTTCTTTTTCTTCCTGGTGAATAAGCAGAACAATTGGAATGTGAATAACCCACCAAGAACTCAGGACGTGAAGGGTCCAGACAGAAGTCTGACGAGTAATGTACTAATAGACATACACACACACATTGAGCAGGATACTGTCTTATCGAGAGGATTGTTTTTCCTGCTTTCCTCATCTGTAGGTTGGAGAAGACATCACTGCTTTCCAGCAGGTGGCGATGTGTAACCTGAGACATTCAGCCAGTCTCCTCTCCCAACAGCCCTTACTTAATTAGTCAGATAAGCCCACAGAGCATTGAGAACTTTGGCCCTTCAGTTTCTAGTTTAAATATTCAAATTGATCCTTTCCCGTGAACAAGCTCTAAAAACCACTGATCATCAGCTTTGATGTTTGATGGCCCTGTTAAATATTTCTATGGTGTTTAAATTCTCTGCGTTTTTCAGAAGTAATGGAGAATCGTCGTTCGAGCTTTACGTCCAAATCCAAACCGTGAGTCAGGACTGTCACCTGCTTCTTTTTCAGTTCTCAGATTCTCCCCTCCAGGCATCAAGGTGACCTTATCAGTCCTGACAGCCACTAGCCATGAAGAGCAACAGAGAGAGAATGTCCTGTGACTCACTAAGGACATTAAAACAACAGTATCATTCTGTAAGGAGCCAGCTAAAACCCACACATTCAGGCCTAATTCCCGGCAAAGCACTTTTTTCAAAGATATTTATCTACTATTCCTAACAGATGACCATGGCACAAATTTTCTTTGAAAATTTTCCCTGACACAGAGTTTCTTAGTGATCACAGATATCAGTGGGCAGACAGATACCCCCTCAGTCCCTCAACAAGATGAGGGTTTGTCAGGATATTGGCAGGTTTTGTTTAACCTGTCATTTTGGGATCTTGACAGACATTCTCCAGCTCTTTCCTGTATTCAACAAAACAAAATGATGAATCACTTCAACTTTAAAAATAAAATTGTAACCAGCTTTTGTTTTTGGTTGCAAACATACTCTTCAGGCAAGAAACTAAAAAAAAAAACTGTGGAAAAGCGTAGAAACACATTTGCTCTCTGCTCCTGCTACAGGCAAAAACTGAGACGGATTCATTCTGTGTGGAACTCCGCAGGTTAAAGACAACAGCGGAAAATAAGACCACTTCATTATGCTGCAATGTGAGGAAAAATTTAGGATTAACCTTTTTTAAAGTGTATAAGATAGTGACTAGTTGGCTTTGAAAAATGCTTTTTTCCCAGCAACAATATGAAAGAACAATTGTAAGCATATTATTTGACTTTTTGACATTGATATTACAAACTGCAGAATGTCTAGCTCATTCCACACCTTTTATTTATATACTTCCTTTTGTCTATATGCAAGGTAGAACTGCTTCTTAAGAAGAATGTGGTCAATTACAAAGAAATATTTGTAGAGAGAAAAACAACTCCTAATATGAAAAACTTAGAATGAGCTTTCCTGTGTGAATTTGCTGTTTAAAACCAATTGCATTTATCATCTCGGTGGAGAGGTTACTCACAGATCTGTATGAGAGGCTGCTCTCAGATCTGCATGATTATATCCATCCCATGCGCATGAATAAAGGGACTCTGCTTGACCACACCTAACCTGAGTAAAAACTTTCCTTCGACAAATGCAAAATACAACCAGGACATGTACGGATGAATATATGCATCTTATGAGTATCTAAAGAAAATCATCAATATTTACGACTGCAGAAACAATTATCGGTCGGCACCCTGTAGGGGAAATTAGAGAACATCTCTCCTTGGATAAATGAGAGCTCCATTAATCAAGAAGAAGCATCAGTGACTGGGGGGTTTGTGTGTCGCTTGAGGTGGAGATCAGGCTGAACCCTGAACTCTGCAGTCACCAAGGGGTCCCCCAGGAACCCCACCTCACCAACACAGCAGGCTGCGGCAGGAGCCGAGTCACCCCTGCAGAGCACACTCACTCTGCCACAGCGGATCGGTCGAGGCTGGAGAGGAGAGGAACTACTGGATCCAAAGCCGGAGGGTTACAGGAAGGGTCTGGCGATTCCAAATGTGTCATTAAAAAAAACCAACAGTTGTCAAATGACTGATGACCATTCATTGCTCTGGATTACTTTAAAAATATGCAAATAACACAGAAGAGTCTCTTAGGCAGCAGCATGGCGGTAGAGGTTAGACCTCTGCATTGTGCGCTGGAAGATCGTGGGTTTAAATCCTGGATCACTGCCCCTGGACAAGGATGGAACTTCCCTCAAGCTTAGTATGCACATAATGCATTTCCACATCCAAGTTCTGTGGCACAGCCACTGCCTGGGAATGAATGTATTTCAGCTGATTCAAGCAAGGTTACACAAAACCTACCTCCATTTTTGTTCTGGTCTTTCCCGCCGATATCATTGTTCTCATCCAAGGCATCAGCGAGGTTGAGATCATCAGAAGCTGCAATGGAAAATTTTTGTTTTTGTTTTACAGTGTGTTAGGAACACCAGGGATGAGATGAAAAACATGGGCTGATGCACTCTGGACAGCAGTTTTCACCATTTCTGGGACAACAACACAGAACCCTTAAGGATCCTGGCCCATCCAGTGGGATCTTTATACAAGAGGTGACTTGAGAAATAAAACCAGATCAGAGGATCTGGATTAAATCAAACATGAAGCCGCCCACCAACAGCAGCATCTGATGGCTGATTTCCACTCCGTAGAACGTCTGCACCAAACAGAAACACTGAATCCATCATGCTCTAGATTCGTCCTTTGTCATTCTTATGTGGGCCACAGTGGACTGTATCCAAGACACAGGCTAGAAGCATTTCCTCCAGGAAAGCTGAAATAGCAGAGGCCAGGTCCCTGCACTGATGCACACTCAGGGCGTTTGGGGTTCCAAAAGATTTCATTATTACAGAGCTGTTCCAGATGTCGCTTACAACTACACGATCAAAATAAGAAGCACAACTAACAGGAGGAAAATACCTGCTATGCATGCCTTTTGTAAAAACAGGTTTTTAGCTGTCCAAATAATCATTACCAGTGATTCTGAATGTTTCAGGAAAATACTCCTTGAAAAGATGTATACAGGAAAATGGAATGGCATAAAACAGGGGTGTTAAACTGATTCCATCAAGGACAGCCTGGTTTTCCACTCTCCTTTCCAGACTCAATGACCTTTATCTATCCCCAACTCTCACAGACCAAACTGGGAATGGCCATAGAGAAATATGGGTCAGACCACATCACCTATAGTCTTCAAGGTCACTAAACTACTGAGAGTCTCATCCTCCAGCTACAGTGAAGATGCAGATCAAAACGTGAGAACATGAAGAGCATATTCAACCATTTCTCCTGGCTTTAACAGGGTTGGAATCTCAAGATTGTCTTAGAGAAAGGTGGAAGTCCACCTTGTCTTCTCCACACCAGCCACACACTGCTTGTGACCGAGTCTATTATTTTGAGTTCTTTATATTTTGACTAATGAAGGTGAAACTACTGCAAATAATTTCTATGTTCTCTAAGTCTTTAAAGCCAGAGCAGTGATAAAACGCTTTGCAAGCAGGACAGAAGAATTACTTTTGTTCTGCTCATCAAATAATTAACACCAACAGTTAAGAAGGGAAGGCCTTGAGAGGAGTAAAAGCCATGAATCCCAGGTCTGAGATCCCAGTTACAGGCAGAGAAACTAATGATACAGGATGAAAAAACACCCAACAGTGACCGACAATCCATAATATGTATAAACAATGAAATATCTCAATAAACTCAGGAAGGCTTTTTGTATTTGAATTGGAAAAGACAATAAAAAATAAAAACTACTGGCAAAAAAACAGATAAAACAGATACCTTGCATCAAGCATTAGGTAAAAGAGTATGAAGTGCACAAAACCAAAGGGAAAAGAGGAAAAATCTTAAGTTTAAAGCACAAATAATAAACATGTTTGAGATACAGCACCATGTAAATGAAGTACTTTAAAAAGAGGCAGGGATCTTACATGCACGCATTCCAGCAACACGACACTGAGTAAAGTGACAAGTACAGACCAGCCTTCCCCTTAGATGGTGGTCTGGGGGTTCGGGGTTGTTTGGTGGCAGTGTGGGGGCCTGGTCTCAGACCTGGACGCACAATGGGGTCACCGTACCCTTTCCGATTCAGATCTGTTAGCAACATAGCGTGAACTACATTTAAAATTCAGTGAGGTATCAGAAAGAGGTCTTTTGACAAGTTTAACTGCACACATGTAAAGTTCATATAAATGGGAGCTTAAATCTGGGGACTTCTGTCATAACGTCCACATCATAGATAACCCTGGTACATCCACTCTATTGAGGAGCAGATTCTACTTTACTCGATAGGCTCTTAATCAGAAAACTGGCTCTGCTGCAACTGCAGGTTACGTTAAACAGTTAAGGATTAGCTGGAACACAATGCAATGAAATGAGCTGCTTACTGTACCTCTCCCTACAAGTCCCTGTAAATGTATTAACAATAAACAGTAAATCAAGATGTTTACTTTAACTCCATGCAAAGAGCTTTCTGTAGATCATCTCTTAGGGTCTTTTAAGGTTCTTCTGTGAATTTATGGAGTTGTGATTCCAGAGTCATTAAGTAGTACTGCTATACAAATCCTGGATGGATTTCAGGGCTGTGCAAGATAATGGCATAAGGGAACTCCCAGGGAATGCTTGTACAGAGATCAGGTTCAGACAAGAAGTCCAATTGCTTTCAGTTTCAATGCAGGCTGTCAGTGGCTAACTGTAACCAGACTTCTCCCGAGCGCCAGCAAAGCACTGCACCTGGGCAGGCTCTAGACAGGAAGGGGAATTTCCTGGGCTTGTTGTGCCACAATCTCATCCAACCTGTCACTCATCCAACTCACGATACCCCTCAGGACTCACAGCACAAGGATTGCGGACACCTCTTACCGGCACACGCCCCACAGCAGACAGAAAGAAGGCTCCAGGGAAGTGCTCTGCAGTGTTGACGATACAAAGTATGTGTTCGGATTTGAATTGGCTCCAAACTGGCTGCGGCTTAAATCAATTGCCCAATTTGGAAAAGGCTTTTTGGATGTCTATTAAGAAGTAAGATGTTCAACATCCTTAGGACGGGGAGAAGATCCCCACCCCAAATCTCGCAGCTCTGACTCACATGGTCAACTTCTACTGTTACATTGCAAAGTTAATTCAAGAATTTGTTTTTCAATTTGTGTAGGGTACCCAGCCTGAATTGCTCAATGCCTGTTCTACTAGTGCGGATTCCTGATCCTTTTCATCCAAATTCAGCTAACCTAGGTTAGGTGGGTGCTTGTTCCTTCTGCCCAATCTTCAGGTTCTGGCACAGTTCAAGGAGAAAATCTGATTCAGAAACCCATCCCTTCCCACCCACACAATAGACACGTTTCCCCCCCAAGTTAGAACAGCCTTTGTGTCAGCAACAACGCATAACAATTACAGCAACAGATTCAGCAGTAGGAGTGTTTTGAAAGGTTTCTTAAATGACAAACTATTTTGTTTACTTCCGTTACTGAATTTCTAGTTAAAATATCTATCTTTCTTTACCCAGTGAGCTCCAGCCATGTCATATTTCAAAAGACCGCTCATTACCCAAGATGCAATGGGAAGGAGTATTTACCTTGCTTTGGTTTGGGCTTCGGGGGTGCTTTGGTGGTGGTGGTGGTCACTTTCGGAGCCTTTGTTGTGGTCTTTTTAGCAGGGAAGTCGAAGTCGAAATCAAAGTCTTGACACCAACATCAAACAGGAAATGACAAGCAGAAGACATCTTAGTTGCATACACTATTGTTACATTGAACACAAAATGAGGAATCCTCCTGACTGAATTAGTCATGGTGTGCAGGCACACACATTCTCATTGACATATGAACATACAGAAATTCCCACATTATCCGCCAGAGGTGGCAGGCATTCGATAGGCTCACAGGATCCATTTTTCCAAATCCAAAACAGGTTTTAACTTGTCTTTTTATTTCATCCAAGATAATGAAACAGAATTGTTTCCAGTCTGGATAAAAAACTTAAAAGGGCAGCACATCCACAAATTATCTGAAATAAGAAGACATGTACAGGGCTTGACAGAAAAGTACAGAAAATTTTATTTCCATTGGCAGAACCTGAATATTTTAGCAAATCTACTGTGCCTTTGAAAACTACCAGCTTCAAGCACATCTGCTGCCTGCGGTATGATAAGAAATATTAAATCAGGGAGTTCTTGTATTTCTGAAGCCGACATTTTTTTTTTCATATTTTCCCTTTCAGTCCCAAAGCTGCTCAATTAAAAAGATGCCAACACTGCAACATTGTGGCTGCAGGAAATATTTCTTGGACAGCCCTGCTGAAGTGTAGGAAATATCTGTGTACTGCAGGGCTTATCAGACCAGTGCATCCCAAGCAACAACACTATGCAATGGGATGAAGTCATCTGAACTGATTAGGCGGCGATTTGTGGCTACAGCACTTGTGAGACCTGTCAAAAAAGAGCATTCTCATATCCCTACTCACCAGAAGAACCTCCAGGCACCTTAGGGTTTGGCTTGACTGTCGCTGTAAAACAGAATTGAACAAATAAGTATGATATTGAAGGGTTAAATTCTTTCTCCGTACACAATGGGCATAAGAGCACAAACTGTATGATTACGTGTAGCTAAACTAAGAGCTTGCAGACAGAAAATAGCTAATTCTAACAATTTTAGGAATCGTTCTAGTGCTTAAACACAACCACACGTGCTCTCAGAAGCACTATACCAGTTCAGTCACATTTACATTTTTATGATCAGTCACTGTGAAATGTGCTTAACCAATGACTATCAAATATAACTTAAGTTTTGCTTTTTAAGACTTCCTTAAGTAAGCTTTTAAGGAGCCAGCCGTAACTCTTCTGGTCAGAACTAGTATCTTGACTGCTTCTTCTCCTCGACCGAGTATTCAACGAACTCCTCTTCTGCTCGACAAAAAAGGTCTCCAGTGAATTTTCGCTCTCCACTGCAATGTCAGTTATAACCTGTGTACTTCAAAAGGTGTTTAGCTTTTTTTTTTCCTGCATAAAAGTTGTTCTATGATTGCGATTGGCAAAGAGATGAAAAAACACAGAACGTACGTGGCTTCGTAGGCTTGTCATCCAAGGCGTCTGCTAGGTCAAAATCTTGGGCTGACCCTGGAAGAGAAAGGAATAGAGGCACCTGAGTCACGTCGTCTTCTGGGTTGAAACAGCACAGTGCTCTGACTCACCCCAGCCAGGCCATTTGAAGCGATGATTGATTCCTTTGATTGCATGGAGACCAATAACATTTATATCCCAGCGCTGTGGGAATTCTGCACAGTTTTAAGGCTTCCACCAAACACCCGAGTTCACCTTTTAACCCTACAGACACCATTTCACAATCAACTTTATTTCCGCGGCATCTACACAGAGCAACAGGGCTCTGCTCCTTGAGGCTATAAAAAAGTACCTGTCATGATACATCATGCTTCTTTTCCACTGCCCACACAACAGTACCCTATATTAATACCGAAGAGCACAGTCTGGTTGAACTTGTAATGCACTTATGCTGTGTTCAGTTTGACTCTGCTTATGAGTTACAGAACTTCTCAGAGGATTTGGTCTCCTCGTGATTTAATCAAGCAAGACAGGCATGCTGCCCAACTATAGGGAGTGTGTGTTTTCCACCTCCTCTCTGAATGCAAATGAACTGTGAAGCTGCAGTGACTGAGCCAAACCTGTCCTGCACTGCTTCTTAATCCTGGAACAGACTCAGAAATATAGTCACATATGCACACTACCTCATGACTTGAGCCACTACTATAGGAAACCAGAGGACCACACATCGGGAATCCACAACATGGATCTAAAATTTGGTCAGAATAAAAGTACTTCTTCAGTGAAATTCCACGATTGTAAATTAATTCATTTATCTCTTGATCACTCTGCAAGTGTAATTCCCCATTGTCATGATAGAATGAGGGTTTAAAATTTGGTAAAGAAACCAGCACTGTGAATGAAAGGGTTGTGTTTTAATCTGTGAAATTCTAACCTTATCTGTGGAAAGAAATAATACATATCTGGGTTAAAATTTTCACAGTAGATCTTTTATTCTACACTGTATTCTGTAGTTTAATCATGTGTGAGGCTACCTTTTAACTTCAACTGTCTTTTTCAGTCACTAAGTTAACAGTTATTACATATTCAGATTGTAAAATGTTCCAGCAAATATGCAATTCAAGAAGCTTTAGAATTTATTGCACATCTGATGAGATTCAAACATTTTGCAGTACTTATAAACGGACTGTACCAGCCACAACCATTGTAAATATTCAAAGAATTGTGTTGGAAAAGCATACATGGCTGGTTTAATAAACATTTTAGGCAAAGGACAATGGTTTTATATTGACAACATTGTTACTGCAGAATTTGATAGCTGTAATTCAACATGCAAAAAAGAAGCAGTAAGTCCACAATAATTATTACTGTATGTCTGAAACAGAAACACTAAGGAGCAGAAACACAAACATCACCTGCTCCTGATGGATTCTCCCATGGGTAGACATGAGCTTTCAAACAACTTACAAACAGCACAAACAACGGCACACAAAAAGATTTAGTGTGTGAACTAAATAATGAGGGGAGACAGCTACAGTATGGGCAGATTCCTTAAACCCGTTTTGTCTCATCAGCCTTGAAGACAAACTAATCAGTCACACCATCAAGCAGAACAGCGCCAGAAAACCATCTGGACCGAGATTAGAATATAGATGAGATGAAAACATAAGCTAAGCTAACAATGACTTAATGCCCCATCTCCGTTTTCATCTCATTAATGTTAATGACATGGGGCTTTTGAGAGGGGGGG